CAAAATTATGTCAATTATTATATTCTCTCCAGTAGCTATCCCCCCCCCCCCCCCCCCCCACATCCACTTTTTTTCCCCTTAAATATTTTTATAGTGGTATAATCACAAATTACGTACAAACTTTATTTCTGATTTTTAAAGAGTTTATTTGTGTTATTTCCATTTTATTTATTTAAATGTTTATGTGTTAATTCCTGATGTGCTCACTTCATGGTCCCTTTGTACCGTGTGTGTGTTGTGTGTCTGTGTGTGTTTATTTAGTATAAACACACACAGACACACACACACACACACACACACACATATATATATATATATATATATATATATATATATATGTATATATGTATACCCCACTGTGTATATTTATTTACCCCACTGTGTGGTGACCCGTTTGCTATGAAGCTGAAACTAGGATTACCATATATATATATATATATATATATATATATATATATATATATATATATATATATATATATATATATATATATATATATATATAATTTACAATCCTTCTGTGCCTTTGAGAAATACGAAATTATAATACTCATGCAGACATCATTAATTGCTAAGGATTTTCATTCACTCATTAATACTTCAAAAGCCGCATTAAAAAATATTATGATTTTCACATGGTTAACTGCAGTTTTTAATTAGTTAACTTACCATATGTTTCTTGTCAGGTTTCTTGTGCTTATCTTCTCTTGCTTATCACAGAAGCTACACAATCTTCCTTTGTCTTCGTGAAATGTACTTATACTAAATCCAAAAGCCACTGAAGTACTTTTGTTATTACAAATGTTAACACTTTGCGGGCGCGTTTTTGGGTAGTAGGGTGTAAGAAAATTCGTTAGCCGTTAGTCGCACTTTCAGCTTCACAGCAAAGAGTTAATCCAATAATTACCCCGTTCGTGTACCAGCGGTACTGACACACTCGATGCCTTTCAATGTCCCAAGTAAAAGAAAAAATTAACAGATTGCAGCTCTCTCAAAAACAACAGCATTCACACACCTGAAATACGTTAGGCAGCTACCCAGAGGCTGTCATTAGAATTGCAAGTCATAGTCGATAGCAGCAGCAGTCGCGACAAATCGGCAGTTGCACGCACATAACTGCGTAAGGCACTGTCAATTGAGTGGCAATAGAAGACTCGATAGTTTTTGAATAATCAGTTCACAGCACAAATTACCTTTGGCATTGGTGAAAAACATTCTAAATGACATCCATAGATCACAATATCGCATCACCGTACACCCAACCCAGCTGCTGTGATATGGAATCATACTTTCAGTCTACATATAGTTTAAAAATTAACTACAAACCCTAAATGTTACTACAAAATGGAATGAAAACTACCAAGAAGAAGAAGTACATTACTGACATTCTACATGTGAAAGTTGGCGTACTTCCGCACTATTCACTTGCTCCCTATGGACCTCATTTAGCTTCCTACATCAATTTACCATCAAGTGATGCAGTACCAGCCAGTCTGTTCCTGTTCATTTCCCAACACACCTGAATACCATGGATAAAATATCTAAAGGCACCACCTACCCTGGATTTGTCGGTGTTGCTTATCCCTGTGTCTTCTTTGACAAAAAAACATCCAAAACAGAGTTTAAAAATATCTAAAAACATATAAATTTGCATGGGAAACATCTTGAAAAACATCCAAATGGAAAGAGTCACAAATTACATAGCAATTGATATGACTTACCCTAGAGAATTATGTCCTCATCTTTACTTAAGTCTGCCTTACAAGACCCACATAATAAACTTAGCGTGGATGATGAAGTTGAAGCTTCAGATCCAAAATGACCCTGGTTTGCTTTAGCTGTTCCAATTTCTTTAAATACCCAATCAGGGAGCTGATAAGCGGAACAGCCTTTTCCTACTCTTATCAGGCCGAATTTTATTGTCACAATAGCATTTCATCCTGTTTCTTATGTTAGATTTGATAAATTCCCTCCAAATGAAAAAAAAAAAAAAAACCATATAGAAAGACATCTACCATCTAAACGTCAAAAACACCATCTAAATGAAAGGGGAAACATCAAAATTTTGATGTAAAACATCTAAAGTGACAATACTGGTTCCGTCCCTTCATTTCGAACTTTCTTTTTCGTTTCGCATCTACAGATGTTTCGGATATTCCTGAGGGTTACTGGGAAGATATGGAGCTGTGCTTTGTGCAGTACTTATAAGCGGATGACCTGTCGCTCTTCGGAGAAAGACTGGGCCATGTGGAATCCAATCCCTGGCAATGAAGTCGATCCTATCGTCTTTAGACATCCAAGAGAAAACAACGGGTCCAAGCAACAATTACAAAACAGGTACAATGCTGGCACGGTCGCATATGATATGTATGAAGACTTTTCGCGGAAGCCATAAACAGTAGCTGTTGCAAAAGATCTTGAAGATACTTATAAAAGCGTTGACTTCACACCTCTAATGCAGTGCGTGATGGACTTCGACGTGAACCCTTGGTTGGCTTATTGGAGTGGGGGCAGCACTATCGAAGAGAACAGTTTTAAGGGCACACAAGAATATTTAGGACTCAGTCTTTTTCTGAGTTGAAGAGGGCTGTTTAAAAACTGAGGCTAATGTTGGGGTAGAAGTAACCGACTTCAACGTCAGTTTTTGTACTGACTAGCCAGCGGTTTCCAGTTGGTGGTATGTGCCCCCCCCCCCCCCCCCAACTTCTTCCCCCGTAATACGTTGAGTGAAAAAAATTGTAGGAAAGAAAGAAAACCCTCAACCCTTTTGTTTTGAAATTCTAATATAGATTTAGACTTTTTGGGGGGGAAATATGAGAATGAAGTAGGGCTTTCGAAAATAAGAGAGCTCCGTAGGTCAATCTTTAGGTCCTAGAAATTCAGGAGAGAGAGAGAAAGAGAGAGAGAGAGGGATGGAGAGAGAGGGGGGAGGGAGGGAGAGAGAGAGAGAGACAGAGAGACGTATGGGCTATAACTCGGTGCAAAAAAAGTAGATCTTTTCGACTTTACTTTAAAATGATGCGTATGCGAGAGAGAGAGAGAGAGAGAGAGAGAGAGAGAGAGAGAGAGAGAGAGAGAGAGAGAGAGAGAGATAGTGTGTGTGTCTATGCATACATGTTGTAAAACTGCAGGCATCGACTCTGAGGCGGACAGTAAACCCCTCACGGGGTCAGTATGGAGCCATTCAGTGGTAATGTCCACTTCGGCAGTTACACAAGTAATCTGGTCATTTAAAGCTTCTCGTATACGAACCACGCAAGTTTCTCCAAAGGGCACCCCAAACACAGCTGCGGCTGTCACACATTTTAATGAGCACGACATTTGTGCACATTGGCACACATAATAAGTAACTATGCATTTTGTCATAGCACCCAAAAATGTCAATTAAGAACATAAGCTCAGCACATATGTAAAATTACGTATTAGACTGCGATTCGTCACAGAACCAGACATGTCTACACTGATTTTCACCTGCTCAGGGACTATGCCCAAAGTCCAACTTCATGCAGATTGTTCCGAAAAGTTTGCTAAGACACATTGCGTCCTGAGGGTAATGCCTGCGCAGTTGAGGAAAATTTTGTAGACCTGTCTTTGAGGTGACGAAGTCGAATAAAGCGATTCTCCGTTACTGTTGTCACTCTGGGTCGTCTACTGCGATGTCGGTCTTCAACTGAACCAATGGCTTGAAACCGGTGCTAAAGTTGACTGATGGTACTCTGATGTATGTATAGATGCCTGGCAACTTTAATTTGAAAATCTCCTGCCTGCAGTCGGCCAGCAACAATATTCTTTAAATTTATCGATAGGGGAGCCATTCGTGACTGCTTGAAAATGAACTGAATTATCCTATATAGGGTTTCAACTGCGAAGGCACTGAATAGTGTTCACCCCACACCGTGTTGCTTTCCCGTGTGTGCATAGTGAGTTATGCTCACAAATATGGTGTTGTATGCTGAATATGGGTGGCAGCATACGAACATATAGTCAAGTGTCTAGGTTTTGATTTGCGCTCGAACTCTGCACCACCCGCAAAGTCAAAAAAACTCAACAACGTTTGTCAGTTATATATTTATTCACAAGAACGTTCAGGTCCACCAACCCGGCACACAGTAAATGGAAATGAAGCAACATCACGCATGTGCATATGCAGGCTAACATGGAATTAACCCCATGAATCTTCTCCAAAAGAGTCCTGGCGGCGCTGCACTTGCTGTCAAGTGCTTCGGTCGCTGGATAACCCTCACGTCAGGGCTAGCAGTAAGAATGAACAGGTTTCGTCTAACTTATTCAGCTTGACCTCCGTTGCCATACTCAGTAGCAGGCACTTTTACATCGGCTTACTGGGAACCACTACAATACTCAAGTTCCCCAGTATGATCACAACACGCCGAAAAATCTACTATTCTCTCTCCTTCACTACCTATCATTACTACAATTTATCCTTCTTATACTACTACAAACATTTCCTGCAAGGATCGACGTTAGTGTACGATCACCTTAACTCCCACGAAGATTCTGGGGGGTGGGGGGGGGGGAGGATTGATTGCATTGGTGTGTGTGATTTTTGTGATGGTTAATAAACAATTCTCCCAATATTACCTCATACTGGGGAGCCTGGGCTATCACGCCCATCATCAGCAAAGCGTAGCCGTTTTAAAACCACATGACTGCCATAGTCAATGACTAGGCACACTACAGCTATGCAGTAATTCGCCACGACTGAAACAACCTGAACTTGATTCAGGACTACCAACTCCCTACAAAAAGGCATACTTGCTAGACTGGTGTAACAAAACTTTTTTAACATCATCTCTAGCACTCCATAAACTCTCCTCTTTCAAGTTACCAACAAATGTATACACATTTCTGGTTTTTCTAAACGAAAGAAGTCACCGAGACGTGTCCGTAAAAGTTTTGCATTGTTTTGGTTAAATTCCTACAGGACGTCGGTGTTTTAAAAGTGTAATAATTACTACAAGTATGTTGTAAATTAAGCGAAGATGTTCAAGAACGTTTTCAAAAAGCTTGAGCAAGGTGTTGCCCAGTCAAAAGCTGTTGTTTCTGGATTGACAAGGGTAAGACATCAAAGAAAGAATTCAATGTTCAAGCTCAAATGCATCTAAACTATTCTAAACTAAACTCACTATCATCTTAATAAAAGAAACGAAAGTATATATATCTAAGAGTGAGAACAGGAAGATTATAAAGATGGGGTGATGACCAGTTTCATAATAATGCTTTATTTGTAAACAATTATTTGGATTAAATTCAAGTTTTCTAAAATGTTTACTAGTTTACTTAAATTTTAATGAGAATTGTATTCTATTTGTATTGTTTGCCACCAAGACTATTTTTACTAATATAATAACCAATAGGCTCTACTTCGAACGGCACCATAAAATGGGGGTCATAATATGATGCCTTTCGAAAGAGAGCTAAATTGGCCACATTCTGGCCATAAAATATCCAAAAATATCAGAATGGGGCTCAGTTCTATTGAAAATATGTGTGCCAGCTCTGTATAACGAAACAAATGCTCTAACAGGGTCTCAGCGATATGTTACTTGGGGGCCTGCTTCTGCGAGTGTGCCTCACCGCCGACCGTATCCCCCTCGCCACTACGCGCTGCGCAGATGGGGACTAAACTAGATGGCTGGGACTCACGAGGGGCAGCTACCGCATCTCCTGCAACTTCCTCCAATTACTTTACTCGTGAGTCCCAGGCACCTAGTTTAGCCCCCCATCCACGCCGCGCGAAGCGGCACGGGGGATACGCTCAGCGATGAGTTTAATCGCGTTTTGCGCATGCCGACAAGTCTGACATCTACCGCTGCTAAATCCTCCAATTGGAAGAACACAGTATTGCTAATCGCTTTCATCGTCTGTAATGTCTCGAAATTGGTCAACGGTCTCTAATATCGTCTGCTAGTATCGTCTGCAGAAACGCTTGAAATTGTCAACGGTCGGTATTTATCGTCTGCTACTACCGTGTGCAATGTTGATATCGATTGTCAAGTAATCCTAGTTTTGCCGCGATTTGCTCTTGGCAGAAAGTCCGTATTTTAGATACGCTTGAACACCGTTCGGATATTTTTGGATATTTTATGGCCAGAATGTGGCTTCATATTATGGCCGCCATTTTATGGTGCCGTTCGAAGTAGAGCCAATCAAAAATCATCTAAAATTATTAATTTAATGATAATCAATCCACCATACGAGCATCAATTATTCAATTTATTTACTTGTTCTTGTCTTTTAGTCTTTCATAATTAAATTAGAGCACGATCTATTATTACTGTTACTTTTAGAATATAATCTAGTTAGGTGTTGCAAAAACATATGTTGTTTTTGTAGAATGAGTTTTACTTCAGGCGCACAAAAATAAACATTACTCTGAAATCTGGAAACTGACTTAGCTATTAAAGTTCATAATCACAGAAGTAACTTACTTTCTCTAGTGATTTGGTTTAAATTAATAATTTTAATATAACATTTAAAATAAATCTCTCTTTTACCAGACGTCAGAAGTCACACATTATATGTTAAGTTAAGAATTGACATGCAGTACTCTGGATGCTGCCATTAGCGCTCCATCCCCATCTTCAGCAGCAAGTGAAGAGTTCCAGTTCTGATGGTACCAGTAAATATCTGATTATATATCTGTTTCGCCTTTCCGTTGAGTGTTAGCCAGATTCCCTGGATGCTTGCCACTCTGCAAGGAGCCTGCCTATCTTAACATGCATTGTGAGTCAGTTATAATCACAACAGGTATGTGGGTAGCTTTGTTAAAACATGTCATCTCTGTATTATGATCCTGTACTCCTTAGTTGTCACATTTTGTTGATAAATTCACTGTGTTTTTCCCTTTCTTAATATAGGGTGATGACAGTGCCACTTCTTCAGATTCATTAGGAGGGCCTGTTGCAGAAAGCACGCCTAAAAAAGATGTCAGACTTGGTGTTAAGGACTCTAGCAAGGACTCTAGAAGTAATGACTCTGCTGATTTAAGGAGGAGTAACATTAGGGCGGATGTTTCAAGTGAACAGTTTCATGATATGTCTGTTTTAGAAAGACCAAATGGCGTTGGAAATGAGGTATCTATAATTTTTACATTAACTGAACATCTCTGATGTGGAATATTTGTTACCTTTGTGAACTAACGGCTATGTCTTGTAATAAATGATTTAGTGCTACATCATTAAATCAGTGAGCCGCTGTGGTGTAGCCGCTAGACACTTACCTGTGGATCTGAAGGTCGTGGGTTTCGGTCGTGGGTTTCGGTCCTGCTTGAGCCAGACTTCTTTTAAAAAATGACCTTTGCTCCCAGGCGACCTAGTCTTAAATGGATACAGAGTAAAGTCCAGGAAATAAAGGTGACCCGCAATTCACCCACTGAGTGCCAAATGGTCTATAAAATATAGGTCTAGCTCTAATGCCCAGTATGCCTGAAGGCGTGGGAAAGGGTCCTTTACATCTTTAAATCTGTGATTTTACAGTAAACGGTCAGTATTGTATGTATTTTAAGAATGTGTTCTTACAAAATTTGCAGTTTATCTCTTTTTATTTATAATCAATTTAATTAATTAAGTAGCCCACTTAACTTATTACTATATTATTTTTCATTTATAGCCGAGTAGGTGAATTGTATAATTTGTACATAAAAATGCAAGTGATTAGGACAAAATTCATGTTAAAACTGTAACCTAATGATTTCATGTAAAGACTAGTGATACATTTTTTTGTCAGTTAATGTATAGTTAGTCATAAATATTTTGTTTCATTTGGTTTCTAATGTATCCTGAATAGTTATGATTTTAAAAAACTTCTTTCCTGTTATTTTTGATCCCTTTGTATGACTAAGAGTGGATTTGTATAAATGACCAAGGTCTTCTAATTTCAAGCTGTCCTACAGTGGATGTGGGGAAATGTCTTAGGAAGTAAAGTTGGCTGATTAAATTTTTTACCACCAATACCCTTCAGTACCAACTGGTCTATAACAAATCGATTTAGCACTATGTATTACCGAGTGCTGATGGTCTGTAAAAATATGGGACGCTCTACCCATATGCCCGATGCGCCGAAAGGCGTGAAAAGGGATCTTTACTTTTTTTTTTATTAATTAGATGCACCAATCATATAAAAAGGATCTCTCTTTATAATTAAATAATTCTGTTTACTTGTTGCTGTATCCCTTTGTATCCCTCATGTATTTCTCAGTCTTTTTACTTGTTACCATATCACTTTGATTATCTCATTTATTCCTCACTCTGTTTACTTATTACTGTATCACTTTAGTTACCTCATTTGTTTCTCATTCTGTTTACTTGTTACCGTATCACTTTGATTATCTCAGTTTTTCTCAGTAATGTTCTTCATTTATTCCCTTGCCTATTTACAAATATGTTTCTGATAAGATTCTGACTGATAACTCTTTTGTCTTGTTTCAGAGAGAAGTTAAAGACAACAGGTCTCGGACATCTTCCATCAGTTCAGTGATCAGTGATAATGCTTATTCTCCTAATACTAGTCTTTCTCAACACTACACCATGCCATCAGATGTTGAAAGCGAAGCTGAGGATATTACTGTCAATCTGTCGTCTGTCTCCAAGGAGGAACTGTACTCATTAGTGAAACGCTTAGAGCATAGAGCAGTCAAGTACAAATCAAAGTTTATGGAGGTATTTGTATTAATCTCATATAAAGTGGTTTTTACAAACATAGAAATAATAATCCTATTGTGAGCCTTTCATTCCGGTAATGCTAAATAAAATTTACATGACTCCATCGGAATTCTTTTTAAAAAAAAACTTAAAAACAAAAATGTTACATAAGTCATAGTTTTGCTTTAAACATGTTTATGTACATCCCCCTGACATTTATAAAGATATATAAAGGGAGTAGTAATGAGTAACCATGAACAAAAGCATTAAATGGGCCTAAAAATATATGTATCAGGTGACTCATGTCATGACTCTGTGACCTCAATCACTGAGGCTTTTGGGAGAATTTGACATCAACTTGGCTTTGACCCCCCAAAAAAAACATTTGTTTTAAAGCTCCCCATATGCTATTTTTAGGGAATGAATCCACTTCTTGACCTGATAAATGTTTGCACAATCAGTAGCATTAATTATACATCTCATACTGGGGTCACTATAGACAAGTCAGAAAAGTGACATTTACAGAAAATTGGCCCAACTGGAAGTGTCCATTTTATAGCTTGTTGCAGTGATAAGGTTCAAGAATTTGTATAATATTGTTATTAAGAACAATAGAATATATCCTCTGCCTTCAGGGACTTGTTATAATATAGTTTGAATAAATCTTTAAGGTTGAGAGAATTTACTTTGTACACTACATTTCATCACATATAGTTTGTCTCTCTAGGCAGTGTGGCTCGCTGCCAGCCAAATGTGTTGCACAAGGCAGGAACTCCATAGCTTAATCGGAAGGAATCTTCACAGACAAATTGCACTCGTGAACTGAACTGAAAGATGCACTACATAAAATTAACCTGCGAACATCAGATTTTAAGGCAAAAACTTAGCCATGGATTCCCACCTTGCCCATAATGTAGTTATTAATGGCCAAGGTACTATATCATCTGTCTTGAAGGACTTTTAGGATGTAGTTAGGGGCCACAGTGATATAGCCTTTATCTGCAAGGAGACTGACTTATCAAGTAGTTATTTAGAGCTATGCTGGTATATCCTCATCTCCAAGAAAGAACTTTGATGAAATATTTAGTATGTAGAGCATTCAAATATATGGTTATGGTGGTATGTGTATTCGACATTGGTAATCTATTCTCTTCCTTCATCTACCAGTCCAAAGGTTTTGAGTTCAAATTAAATTTTTTTTTTTTTTTTTTTAAATCAGTCTTGGCTACCAGGTAGTACAGGGTAATGTCCTGGGAAATCAAACCACTGGCATGATATTGGCAACATTACCCGCCAAAGGTCAGTTGGCCTAACACAAGGATTTTTAACTGGTGGCCAGCGTGCCGAATCTGGCCCACTGAGGCCTACCGGGTGACCTATGGATCATTGCCAACTCTGTTGTATTAATGATCTTTCTATCCTGGGACAGGCCACTGGCCCATGAGGATCCCCATTTTTAACATTTGGGCCCCTTGGTAAACTTAATTGAACAGCCCTGACCTAAACAAGACAAGAGTCTAGCATCATGTGCCCAATGCAAAGCTGGCACTGAAAGGGTCCTTTATTTGACTTCTGGTAATATATTATCTGTCTGCAAGAACTTTCACAATGTATTCACTAGGAGACCTGGTATTTTGTCATTCTTCTCCAGAGATTTATGCTGGGCACTTGCCTGCAAAAATAGTAGTAAAGTGATGGAGGTTAACATCACGCTGGCTGCATTTACTTTCCAGGGCATTGCCTGGTACCCTTTTAAGGCTAGGTCAACTTGGGAGCCAATATCAAATTTATCCCCCCGACCCCTCACCCCCCCCCCTCCAAATGTATTTTTATAAAGATCCCTAGGGATTGTTGCCAGAGCTATGGAGTTTGTGCTTTGTGTGATGCTCTCGCTTGGCAGCTGCTGTCTGTTCTGTTGAGAGAGAGCGAGAGATGCTGTTTGGTAGAGATATGATCAATTTTTATTATTGATGTGAACTTTTAAAACTGATCTGTCTGCCAGGTCAGCCAAACCTAAAAATGGGCACAAGGAAGATTTCTATGAAGTAAAGGTTCCTGAGTGATATTGGCCATCAAATGCCATTTGGTATTTTAAAATCTGGGGCTAGCCCTCAGAAAGTCTCTAGACATAGAAATGGGTTTTTTAGGTTCTACCTACTTGAAGAGCTATTTGATGAAAGGTTTGAATTTTAATGATATTGTTATTGTATCCATTTACATAGTGTAATTTTTATCTTGTCATAGATAATGTAATTTGCTCTGTCAAAGATAGTTTAAAGTATAATTGTATGTATCATGGTGTGATTTTATCTGTCATGGATAGTCTAATGTAGTCTATTATTGATAGTATATTTTTAATCCTTCAAATTATATGCAGCTTGCAGCAGGACATAAGGATGTGCTACAAGAAAAAGAACAACTCAAGGTAAGATTGCCTTTAATTGTTTGTGTTCTTCATAGAAAATACATGCTTGGAATTGAATTTCTAGAAGATTAAAAATATATATATTCAATTGTTATGCTGTGAGCTTCTCACTAAACATTGACATGATATAAAATATTACAAAACTTTAAACAGTTAATTTGAAAGGCTACACAAATGATTACATAAAAAAGCTGGTTCTTTGAAGGACTTTATATTCTAAACCAGATTAGACATTCTGTAATTCTCCTATACCATCTTTTTTAGTTATATTTCATGTGATGTGTGTTTTGTTGTTTTTAGAGCAGAAATTATCATGTAGCCTTATGGCACATGTTTCAAAAGTAATGATTCAATTTAGCCAGTACAGCTGTGGAAAAAAAAAGTAGAGAAACATTTTTCTTGCACTTATCATCATTATGCTTTATTAATAAAAGCATTTGGTGTTTTTTGTTGTTGTAAATTTTGTATTTTTTGGGGGTATTTTATTGTCATCTTTAAATCTGCAGACTTTATTTAAACATGCATATTTATTGAGTTTGATTTTTAAATAAAATTAGGCATATTTAGTAATTACAGAGACCACATCACAAATAGGGTATAGCTCGTCCCAATGTGGAATGCACTTTTGTTGTTGTTGTTTTAAAGCCAGTACCTGGCTGCTGCTGGAGGCCCTAATAAAACCCAACTAATGGATTGAACAGGGTTTCTGGGACCTGTGCCTGGGTGGTCCTCATCTGAATGGTGGCTCTTCATGTCACTGGGTGTTTATCGCTCACTGTGATGTCCTGGCCAGGTTAAATGTCATCATCAACATTAAAAAATTATGATGTTCACCATAGGATTGCTCAACACATGGGCAGCTATGAACCGTGTTTTAACAACAGTGAAACGACAGGAAATGCAATGGTGGAGACACTTAAAACAGTTTTCTGGCTTCTCCAAAATGATACTACAGGACTCATTAGAATTGAATGAGAGAAGCAGCAGACCAAGAAAGACAGTACAGAATTAGGCTGAATAGAAGGACCTCAAACATGCAGACATCAAGAATTACTAAAGACTGACTAGAAAATTCAACAAAGGGGTTGAAAATACAACCACACGGTTCAACCAAGTCTTTATCAATTACTAAATACAACACAAACTGTGAGCAGAAAATTAAACAGAGGGGTTAAAAATACAACCACACGGTTCAACCAAGTCTTTATCAATTACTAAATACAACACAAACTGTGAGTAGAAAATTAAACAGAGGGGTTAAAAATACAACCACACGGTTCAACCAAGTCTTTATCAATTACTAAATACAACACAAACTGTGAGTAGAAAATTAAACAGAGGGGTTAAAAATACAACCACACGGTTCAACCAAGTCTTTATCAATTGCTAAATACAACACAAACTGTGAGTAGAAAATTAAACAGAGGGGTTAAAAATACAACCACACGGTTCAACCAAGTCTTTATCAATTACTAAATACAACACAAACTGTGAGTAGAAAATTAAACAGAGGGGTTAAAAATACAACCACACGGTTCAACCAAGTCTTTATCAATTACTAAATACAACACAAACTGTGAGTAGAAAATTAAACAGAGGGGTTAAAAATACAAACCACACGGTTCAACCAAGTCTTTATCAATTGCTAAATACAACACAAACTGTGAGTAGAAAATTAAACAGAGGGGTTAAAAATACAACCACACGGTTCAACCAAGTCTTTATCAATTACTAAATACAACACAAACTGTGAGTAGAAAATTAAACAGAGGGGTTAAAAATACAACCACACGGTTCAACCAAGTCTTTATCAATTACTAAATACAACACAAACTGTGAGTAGAAAATTAAACAGAGGGGTTAAAAATACAACCACACGGTTCAACCAAGTCTTTATCAATTACTAAATACAACACAAACTGTGAGTAGAAAATTAAACAGAGGGGTTAAAAATACAACCACACGGTTCAACCAAGTCTTTATCAATTGCTAAATACAACACAAACTGTGAGTAGAAAATTAAACAGAGGGGTTAAAAATACAACCACACGGTTCAACCAAGTCTTTATCAATTGCTAAATACAACACAAACTGTGAGTAGAAAAACTCAACAGACAAGACAGCAGAGCTTGTAAACAACCACCAAGGTCAGTCTGAAAGCAAAAAATATGTAATAGGAAAAATATCAAGTCTGTTGCATCTGACTGTAACAGTGGAATGTACTGAAAGTAATAATCTTTATATTGAGACCCAGTCATATTTTAGTCATAAGTTATCGCTTATTAGTTCTCTCTCATCTTGATTGATGCCACATCATATTTTAGCCATAAGTTCTCACCTACCAGTTCTGTTTCATCTTGATTGAAGTCATGTCATATTTTAGCAATAAGTTGTCACTACCATTTCACTCTCATCTCGAACGAGGTCACATTTTATTGAAGCTAGAAGTTGTCAGCTACCAGTCAGTTATCTCACATCTTGACTGAGCTCACGTCATATTTTAGCCAGAATTTGTCACCTACCATTTCTCACTCATCCTGACTAAGGTCACAGCTTACTTGAAGATAAGTGTTAAATAAATATATAAGAAGTCCTGGATAGGCTTCTTATAATCTGTGACATTCAGCGCTAGTCATCTTGTCTGTCCACAACTTTCTGTCTTGTGTACTGTCAGTTATTTTCTTATGCAGATTTTCTTTCTTGCCAACAGTGTCAAACTGTCCAAGATCCTCTCTTTTTTTTTCATCCACCCCCTATTCTTTCTCTGTAGCTTTCCTGTTTGTGATTTTCTCTAGCTTTCATCCTCTTTTGACATGTCCAACTACTGCAGAGTATCGTCTTTCAATGCACATAATAAGTTCTTAATGTGAGTTAGTTTCTTTCAAAAAATATTTTAAAATCTAACCAGGGTGTTTTTATCATTCTTATATAAATCTAGGTTCTTACAGGTTTCGTATAATGTTTTAACCAATCTGCTAATTGTCCATGATTCACTTCTGTACGTCCAAGTCCTTTTGAGAAAAAAAAGAAAAGCTCGACCACGTTCAGACTGCTGCTAGCCAGCCTAGGCTGCTAACAGACTCCGCCTATATTTGTGGTCTGGGTTATTTGCGTCACTTTCGTGACTGAATACTGGTGTTTGTGCCATTTCTGGGCTTGATGCTTCCATCCGAATCAAACCGCTCGTCCTGTTGTCACTGGTGCATGTCTTCCTTCTTCTTTCTTGGTGTTTCCTGTTTGTTCTGTCTCCCTTTGATCTGGCTAGGCGTATCTCGAAGGAGAGCGAGTTTCCATTCACAACGTCCTTTCGGCCACCATTTATTGTTTTAAAATTTTGAGTATTTTAATTTTGCCAAAAAGTACTGAAAACAGTTTTTGAATGTGAATAGTTCCGAAATGTGAAAATTTTCCGCGTGTGACCATAGTGGTCTTATAGTTGTCTTCCTGTAATATGAACGGGTTAGTCATGTAATGGAAATGTGTGTGAGAGTTTATGTGGAGTCTTAAGCGGGTCCAGTCGTCATTTGTTATTTTGTGATCGGGTTGTGTTGATAGCTAAGCTCCGGTGTACATAAATACCATATAACCGGACCGTCCAGCTCACGCTTTGAGATCCAAATGTTCGGCGATGAGAATTGCTGTGGCATGTTGGGCAACGAACTCAAGTGCTCTCTGTGGGAATGGGTTTGGGGGTTAAACTCATAGTGCATCCGAAAGAGTTAGGGAAAGGTGAGGGGAAAAGGGGCGGGAGGCCATTCAGTCAATTCTCGTCGTTGCCGTCTTGCTTGATTCTAGCGTGGCCTTTTGCCGGGACTATGTGTATCACGTTACCAACCTTTGCTATCATCCCAGTGATGGGGTGGTATTGGAGGTTTTGCGTTCTAGTCCTGTCATTATCGAGTCACTTGTTTTCCCTATTTGCTGTCAGTCATATTTTGTTATGAGTCCTGTCGGTCATGTGCATGTTGTATGCATGCTGTGGAGTGGGATGGTTTTGTGTGTGAATCCCCGGAGTATATGGACGCACCCAACTAGGTGTATGCGTACATGCACTTGAGTACTCATACATGCAGACAACACTACATATTTGCACGTCCTTTCATACTTATCCGTGTATGCATACCTAATTGACATTGCGTACACACGCAAACTCTTTCATATGCGTCTACCAATGCCTGTACTTACATTCATAAAAAACGAGTACATCCACACGTAGTGATATTCACTCTTCCTTGTCTTATGTGTTTTGTGTCGCTTTTTCTGTAATTTCGTCTGGTCGTGTCACTTTTAAGTTATGTCCCGTTACTGGTATGTGACCTGTCCGGTACTAACGTATCATGTTTTGGTGGATGGTGTGTGTTGATGACGTTCTTGCTGCGTACACCCTTCATTCCATTTGTTCTCATTAATAAACAGACATACAACAACGCAGTTTATGATTTCTTTGAGTGCACTGTCATTCATACACTCACAAATATATAAATATACATGCTCTCATATATATACACACATGCACACTCATACCCACATATACATGCATACAGTAATACATTTTAAATCCATGTATTCATTCATCTGTACCTTTCGCACAGCTATATTCCCACTGTTCTGTCCACACATGATTCCGTACCATCCGCCTACATACACTGTGTCTTATGTATCCATCCTATACATAAATGCACTCATACTGCACACACTCATCCTTGTGTATGTATCCATGTTCACATCTATGCACTCATCATACTTACACTATCTCTCTGACTCTAGGATGTCTGGGGTTACCATCTCATCAGTTCCTTCTGTTATACTGAGTAAATCCTTAATCTGGTCTTTTTAGTTTTGATTTGTTTTAATAAGGTATTGTTTAACCAGTTTTTGGATGTCTTTATTGCTATCTACCTTTAAACATTTGTTTGCAGTAATTTCTTGTTTGCGTTTTAGAAAAAACTCCCCAGTGGGTTTCCTCTCCAATTTATATTTAGTGCAGTTTATTATATAATGCTCTATTGTATTATCTTGAAAGCAGTCCAGACATAGTGGAGATGTAAATTTCTCTGGGTGCCACCCTAATCTAGCTCTCCATAGTAGTTTGTTAGCTGGAATTTTCAGTTTGTCCCGTACCTGTGTGTTAAGGCTGGGCTCTTTAAGGTTGTTGTAGGCATCTCTGCCATTATTGCTCCCTTGCCATTGTAGTTTCCACATTTTAATTATATGTCGTTTGATTATGCTGGTCCTTTCAGTTTTTCCGAGTCCTACATCTACTAAAACATCACATTTTGCTCCCTTTTTGGCTGCTATGTCAGCTTTTTCATTGCCTTTTACACCTCTGTGTGCTGGTACCCATGCAATAACGACTTGGCATCCTTTATTCTTGAGCTGTTAGATTTAGGATTGTCATGATTAACTTTATGTAGCTCTTGAGAACTCTAGTTCTTCCTTCACTTGATAAGGACAAATTACATAGAAAATTCAGCATTTATGAGTATGACGGCTATTCTTCATTCACTTTCTTTATTGCATATTCCATCTGCTCTTATCACTGTACCAAAATATTTAAAAAAGTTTACTTTCTTTAGATTTTACTTTGATTTCGAACATTGGTAGACAGTTTTTGTTCTAATTATTATTTACTTTTCTGCACTATTCAGACTAACATAACAGAGAGTAACATTGACAATCATTAAGCATTTGTTTTGCAAATTTCGCTGTCAAAGCTGCTCATTGATTGTCTTCATTTATTAAACAATTTCTTTGGCTATATTTGCTTGATTAGTTTCCTGTTCTCCTTGATCTTTCAGTTGAAACTGCAGAAGGAGAGTAAGCAGCATTTGGAGCAACTCAGAGCTGAGGCCACTCCACAAACTTCCCCCACATCTGTTGATGCAAATAATGGAAACAGCTCTATGAGGGAAGATGTTGAGCTGCTGAAGTCAAAGGTCAGAACAATTGATTGGTTATTATTGTAAGGTAAAATCAAGGACCTTTATCACACCAGTGGCACATCGGTCAAAGGGTGCTAGACCCATATTTTCTGTAGGTTAATTACCGCTCAGTCGGTTGCATGGTCAGCATCATGCTAGCTGTCTTTTTTTCCAAAGATATTTCCTCGTCTTATTATACACAGATGATTTCACTTTCAGAAATGGCTAGTTCCTCTTTCAAAAACAGTGGCATAATTTTAGAAACACTGTTTTCCTGCAGTGAATTTGCATAATCCGGACACAAACAATACGTTGCATAATTTTGCTGTATCTCATCAGGTATGTTAGTGCAGGGTTACATCAATATATAATAAATCACCCCCCCCCCCCCCCCCAATGTCCCAAATAAAAAACTGAATAAATTCCTCTGAAATACAAATTGATACATTGTGTAAGCATTGTGTCCACATTATGTAAGTTATGTGTTAGTTTAAATATTGTTGCTTTAATTTTTGTTCTGTTAAATAACTTTACTGTTAATAATTATTACTTTTAAGTGGTTTTACTGTTAAATAATGTTACAGAGTCGGTTTAATTTTCCTGATATATGGTTTTACTGTTATATTTGTACTTCTAAATTTTAATGTTTAAGTTGTGCTTTGATTATATCCTCTAGAAGTGTGATGTATGGCCGGATGCCCATAAAAATGTCTTAAAATTTACCCCTGGGGAATTCTTGCTTTCTTCTTTTCATTCTCCTTGCCCTATGGTTTTTATTTAATGAGAAGACCATGGCCTCTAAGATAGCTGTGGTGTTAAGCATGTCCATACAGCTTGTTTTCCACAGAAATGCTAACTAGCCAGACCTCAGATCTCCCTAGTGTATCCAGAGGTGTGATTTCTTTCTAACAGTTACTTTGTTTAATTTTGCAGCATATCCTAATAAAGCAATTGGTTTTCACATGTTTGTAATAAAGTCATGTGTTTTCACAAATATATAATAAAGCCTTTGGGACAAGTTACATTTCAGCCTGCCTTATAGTTTTGTTTACTCGAGTTTAAGTTTTAAAGGGAAAAAGATTAACTTCATTGCACAGGATTTCATCCCATATGGATCAGTCTCTCTTGTAAAGAAAATTTTTTTAAACTTGTAACAAAGTATATTTCTTCAATTTGTAAATATATTTATATATAAAATAAGAGGAAAAATATGTATATTTGTTGTGTGTGTGTGTGTTGTTTTTTTAAACACCAGTGGTGCATCAATCATATGATGCTTGATTTATATCTTATAGACCAGTTGGCCTCCTTATGTGAATTTCCTAGTATATGATTTAAAATTGTTCTGCAGCAGTTTTTAAATATTTTGTTTTATTATTCAGATCAAGCGCCAGGATGGCCTTCTTCAGAAATGCAGAGAAACCATCACAAGTTATAAGGAGAAACTGACTCAGTTATCTCAGGATAAGCAGGAACTGATTGAGAAACTTGACCTTGTGTCAAAGGTTAGCTTAACTTACTGAGTGTATACTGTATTACAATTTGGCCAAATCATGGATGAATAGTGTCCTTTTTTTTCGATGGCATGTTTGTTTCATGGATGACTTTTTTTTTTTGTCTTGGCCATAATAAACCAGTCTCATTATTTAAATACTAGACAACATCACCTCAAAGGTTTCATGACATTCGAACAGAACTCTTTATTGATAATCTGACCACATGGAACAAACTCATACAAAATCGGGCTTTTTGTGTTGTCATAGAACTCTTTCTCAAAAGTTTTGACATAAATAGTTGGTGACTGCAGTCGAGCTGATGACAAGAAGTGTTAAATACAACATTAAATGGGACTGAAAAGCTCAGTGGAGGGAATAGAGAAGACATACACAAATACAATTATACTGCTTGAGACATTCTGTTGTATTTGTGTGCATCATTTCCATTCCCTCTTGAGTTTTCTTGTCCCATTTGATGTTGAATTTAGCACTATGTTCTCAAATGTTTGCGAGAAAGTTTCATTGTATACAATTACTCATATTAAATACTGGTCTATCTGTATCTACAGACCGGTGACAAAGGCAACCCTCATAGTCCAGATCAAGTGTCAAGGCTTCAAACACAAATGCAGGAGGCAAGAAAAGTCATTGAACAGTTACAGTTGGACAGAGAAGTGGCCATTGCTGAAGTCAAACAACAGGTCTGGTCTGTCTGGGGTTTTTTTTTTTTTTAAATTGAAGCCCTTTTTTTATTCTGTGCTGTAAATTTAATTGTATTATAATGCAAACTGTAAATTACATGTACCCAACAAAAACATCACTTCATCTCCTCCTCCTTCTTTTTCTTTTCTTCTTTCGCTTCTTCTTCTGCTGCTTGCTTACTTACTTAGTGGCTCCTCTTCCACCTTTGGGTTTGGCAGAGAGATCGCCAGACTTCTCTATCAATAATTTTCTTTCTGGCTTTGTTCCATCCCAGTACTTGTGTCAGTTAGGGCCTGTCGGATGTTGTCTTCCCAGCTGACCCTGGCTTGCCCTGGAGGTCTGGTTTCCTGGTTCTTAGCCTCCCATGCCTGTCATGGTGGTAGATTTTCTCTCATTTTGCAAACATGTCCAGACCATTGTAACTCTGACTGATCCACTCGAGTTTTTAATGCCTGGTTTTCAAGATCTTGATGTATTATCTGATTGCGAAGTTTGTCACTTGGACCACCTTTCTTTGATATCTCATTTCTGAGGGCTGAAGCTGGCTTCTATAAGCTGTTGTCATTGCCCACGACTCCCATGTAGGTCAGGACTGGCACATAGATAGAGTGGTAAAAAGCCATTTTTTTTTCCTTTTGCCAGTTTCTCTTTTGCTAAGAAACCCTCAGCCTGGAAAAGTCTCCCAGCAGCTACTATTTGCATAGTCGGCTTTGTCTTAAATGTTATACTGTCATTATTTTGTTTCTGTTTCCCAATTTTCCTTATACCTTTTCTGGGACAGTGTCTACAGCCTGAAGCAGCCAATAATAACTTTGGGAAATTAACCTCAACCAGCAAAGAGATGAGACAAATTGTGTGTAGTACTCAGAATACTTACTAAGGTGTTTCTCTACTTCCTTGTAAGATTTACTGTTGTTCAGTCTTAAAGAGATAAACATTTTACCACAGGATGGTGCTAGCAATTTAAAAGAAGAAATTCTGATTACAGAATTATTTTCTGATCTACTGTGGACACACCTCTGTCTTCATTATAACAAGTTACTTGATTGTCTATGTCTTATCGAGATGTGACATATCTCTGCCATCAGATTTTAAGGTTCCATCAGTATACGAAATTGTCTAAAAAAATATATTAATGATGGACAGCCTTTGCTGATGTGTTTTCCTTGAGTTCTTTATAATAGGAAATGGCACCAGAGTGATGATAGAAGCAGAGCTATGTCAGAAAATTGAAGCTGAATTATAGAAGAAGCAATGTTATTCTATAAAAATGAATCAGTGAATAAAGAATTGACATCACTTGGACATTCCCTCACTTGCCTCATCGCCTTCCTCAGTAGCCGAAAGACTTTCATTTTTAAAATATATTTTTTAAATTATAGAAGAAATAAGCAGTTGTGATGGAAGAAATGAAGTATGCTATCAATGTCAAACATGGACACTTTCTTCAAAAGACAGAAAGAAAATAGTCATGACAAGAATGAAATGTTTACGTACAACGCTAGGTGTTATGGGGAAGGATCCAATTAGGAGCAATGATATCAGGAAGAGTGTCAGCACAGAACCAATACTGAACTTTATAGTTAGACAACAAATCAAAAGGTTTGGCCATGTTACAAGATTGGCATCAGACAGGGCACAACACAGAGTAGTGTTATACAGATACAATGGTATCAGAACCAGAGGTTGACCGCTCAGAATGTGGACGGAAAAAATATCAGAGACACTGAAAAGTACTTCATACAAAGTGAACAGAAGGGCCCTTTCCAGAGATCTCTTCCTGCCCTGACGCTGCGAGGCATTCCAGGAGTAGAGAAAAGAAGAATGATAGAAAATAAAGCACAGTTATGATAAAAGCAACAGGATCTTACCAGAGAATTTTTTTTTTAGTGAATCTAATTATTAAACATCATGAAAATCAAGAGAATGTTCTTTTAACAATGATTTGTTACATATTTGTAACGTGCAGTGACGCTGGTTCTCATCTCCCAACTTTACCTTTACCTTTTTTTTAAATATTTGTAATGTTTTCATTAGCATGTATTTTCCCCTTCATTTCCTGTTTGTCTCTTTAGTGAACTCTTAGGGTTGTGGCATAACAACTTTTTGTTCATTTTTATTTATAGTGTTATTTTATGTGTCTGCTTGTTAAATTATGTCAGTTGCTTTCCTTAGATCCATGAGGAAATGGAGAAGAAAGATGCAGAACTTGAACATATGAAACTTCAGTGCCAAAAATTTGTCACTGAAAATAACAGCCTGAAACTCGAAATTGAGAGGCTGACAAATGAAACAGAGGATCTTCGTAAAATAAGTATGTACTCATAGCAGAATTACCAGCAGTTACTGTTAATTTAATAAAAATTAATTAAGTCTGTGTTTTAAATGATTTGTTATGTTATGACCGTCATTGTCATGTTTAAAATGGCACGTTATAGTATGATCATCTGTAGCGTGTTTAAATAATAGTATATTGTGACATTTCGTGTCATGTGTTAAATGGGATTTTGTGTTCTAATTGTCATGTTTTGAATGTTATATTATGACCCTCGCTGACATATTTTAAATGGTATATCACGACAGTGTATGTCTTGTTTAAATGGTAAGTTATGACCCTCTATGTCATGTTTTAAATGGTAAGTTATGACCCTCTATGTCATGTTTTAAATGGTAAGTTATGACCCTCTATGTCATGTTTTAAATGGTAAGTTATGACCCTCTATGTCATGTTTTAAATGTAGAAAACTAATTATGAACAAAAATAGATTTCTAGAATTTTAGAGCTATTTGACTTTGATGGGGATCCATAGTAAGTAGTGCAGTAGCTGAACTGGCCTACCAGTCCGAAAGTCCTGAACTTGAAGCCAAATCTGGGATTTTAGAATTGACTTAGTCTAAAATGTTTATCACATCACATCGAGTTTCAAATGATTTATAAAAATATGAATCTAGCACTGTATTCCCTATGTCTTATGTGCCAGTGACTGTATTTTTCCAAGAATAATGTGATACATTTTCCAAAATTTTTAAAGTTTTTAACTAGGGGTCATCTTATACACCAAATATTTATGTGCCAGGACACTCTGGTGTAAGAGAGAATGATGGAGCAGATTGGCTTGCTGGCAGGGCCATGGTAGGTACAGGAGAAGCGATGAACCGGGCTGACATTCTCAGTTCTGTCAAGGAGGCAAGATGAAAAGATGATTCAGGGGACTATGTTGAATCGGCAACACTCAAAAGACTACAAGAACTTCAAGTTAAAAGAGGTGTCACCAACCATGAACATGTACAGGTAGCCAAAGAAGAATAGTAAATCAACACAGAACTGGTGTTGTCAGTCGCCGGACGCTGAGGGATATACTGAAGATAGGATCCGAGTGCTTATGGACTTGTCCGATTTGCAGTCAGGATAATCTGTCGATTAACTAACTAACTTATTTACAGAATGTGTTTAAAATATTTATGTTCTTTATTTCGGGCTTAAAATAAAATAGGGGGGTATCTTGTATATGGGGGCAGAGAATGTAATAATTTGTTAAATAAAATATTTTGTGTGTGAAAAAACACAGACAAAGTAAAGTTTAATGTGACACATAAATGTACTCTTCAGATCAGGAACAACTAGAAAAGGCTAGAAACATTATGAGGAGGCTGAAGGAAGACAAGAGATTGGCTATTGAGCAAGCTGAAGCAAGAATCAGACAAGCAGAGCAGAGCATGGAAGAGGAGAAGGAGAAGATGCTGATTGATCTGAAGAGGGGCAAAGCTGAGGCTTTCTCTGTAATGCAGGTTTGTCATTTGTTTGGATAAAATAATGCAGTGGTTTAGGTTTGGTTTTGGGTGCCGTCTCCACAAAGAGTGTTAACGCACTATACAAAATCTGTGTTATATGCATGTGAGACATGGCCAATGGGCAGTGTTGAAAACATTTACTTGCAGCGGAGATGTGTTGTTTTTTAGAAGAATGCAAAGAATATCATGAAAGGATAGAAAAACAAATGAGGCAGTCCTCCCTGAGATGGATGAAAGTCATAAACCGAATAGACAAATTGGACATGGTCGTTATTTTTCGGACATGTCATGGAAAACGATGGACTAAAGAACTTGATGACGACTGGGGTGAGAAAAGGACACTGACCTGATCTGTGATTCTAGTGATCATGTGAGATGGCAAAACATGACTGCCTACGCTTGTGGACATGACACATGTTGATGTTAGTCTCCACAATGGAGGTTTTCTGCGATGGATATGTGCATCCAATACTGTCTTTTAAAATGTTCCACGGTGTGCCCCAAATATCTTTCATGGATTGTCTTTTGTAGCACTGTCTGAAACCCCCTGGGTGGGCTGCAGGATCACATTTTGGGGAGAAGAATAGACCCTCTGCCCCTCTAACTAGCATGTTCTACAAGGTGACTAATTTGGGTGTTTCCTTTGAAGTCTGAGTGCATCTGCCTGAGAGGCATGGAACCAGCAGTCTGCATACAAATAAACCAGATCTGTAAAACATATATGCACACAAAACTCAGGTTCTGAAACTAGACGAAAGGCCAGAAGTAGATGAACAGCCAGAACTTTCTGCCTGAGTTAGCAGCCAGTGAACGCTAACGCTTCCCTCTCCAGGAGTGCAGTCTGTAACAGGAGTGCTGTCTGTAAGATTAACAGACCAAGGATGAGAATCGAACACAGAAATCCCCAAAACCCTGTATAACACAGTTACATTAGGGCACCCTGCACTTATGAAATAACGCGCAGTCTGGTGTGGGTGGTCAGGTGGTCAGCTGAAGTTTTGGATCAGATGCAGCAGGATTCATCAGTGCCATTTGAATAGGCAAAACAGGTTTGGGAACACAAATGAAGAGAAAACAGCATTACAGTTTTTTACTTTTCAGGACATTTCCATTTATAAATTTTAGGCTGGGTTGCCCTGGTGGCCTAAGTCAGTTTTTAAAAGTCTGTCTCTGTGTGGATTCAAACCCACAACCAGCAGGCTAGTCTGCTAGCCACTGTGCTACCATGTCTCCCTCCCTCTTGTTTTTTAATTTGTATTTTAACTCTTTCGGTCCTAAGGAATACATCTTACGATCATAGGTTCCTGCCTAGAAGCCCAGTTAATGCAGGATGCACCGATTATATGTCTCTCTTTACCACTTTGGCCTTTTATGCTAAACCCCCGGGACTGAAAGACATAATAAAGATTACTGCTGACATGTATTTTTCCCTTCTGGTCTGCTAGCTGAAGGTTTGAGAACTGCTCTGAGATTAGAAAATCTCAAAATGAACGGCAGACCAACCAGCAAAATTCCAGACACCCCTTTTCAGCTTGTAAAATATAGTTACGGTACTCATGCCAAGTAAGTGGTCGTTGTGTAACGGCTAGATGCTCGCCTGTGGATTGGAAGGTAATGGGTTCAGGTGCTAGCGAAGCCTGACATTTAATATTTAAAAAATTATCTTGGTTCCCAGGTCGACCCAGCCTTAAATTGGTACCAGGTAAAGTCATGGGAAGTAAAGATGGCCGGTGAAGTGTTGATCACCCACAAGTGCCGATTGGTCTGTAAAATATAAGTCTAGCCCTATATGCCCAGTAAGCCTGAAGATGTGGACAAGGGTCATTTTACTCACAACAGCTGCCAGGACAGTACAGGAGAACTTATAGAACAAACTTTTCAAGAACAGGGACCCAAGAATTGTAATGTCTACTAGTTTCTACATTAGGCGGTTATTACCTGCAGAGAAGTACCTTTGTTGCATGTATTCGGGGATGAGATAACAAAGTGTGGCTCTTTACTTTGGGAATATTGGAATCGACTTACTTTGGGAATACTGGAATCTAACTTTTAACGCTTATCATACTTTTCAACAGTAGAAGCAGAAGTCTGCTTAACAAGTCTCATCAACATCATCATCAATCAGCAAGTTCTTTAAAGAATGTCACTTTTATCACGTACGCCTGAAAGTCTCTTTTTCTCCAGCCTGTTCTCTAGCCCTATGTGCTTTCATAGCCAGTGCATCTTAGGTGACTTGTATCCATCAGTTTTAACAAAATACACTGTTCTTGCAGCAAGAATCAGAGAAGAACTTAGCTGAACAAGTAGAAGCAGCTGTGCTGAAACGAGACCAGTTCTGGAGTCAGAAAATGGCAGCTCAAGAGGAGGCACATGGTGAAGTGTTGCGAGCAAAGGTACTACATTTTTTTATATTTTAAAATAACTAACTGGATCCACCTACAAACAGGCACACTGAACATAACACATATCAGTTCTCTATGATTAGCCTATGTGTTCTGGTTTCTTAAATGCATCATGCCATGACCAAAGAATATAAAAGTCTCCTTCTGATGTTGACAGTCAGTTCTCTTCCTGGCAAGATGTCTTTAGTAATCTTTTTGTATGTTTAGAGTGTTATCATTATTCATCTATAAAATCACATCTCCACCATGTCCACATAGTTTTTAACTAATTGGCCCACTGTTCATGATTTACTTCCGTATGTCACTATAGGGTTTATATAGCTGTTGAGAATTCTCTTTCTTACCTCATTTGACAAAGAAAGATTGTGATGATAGTTATATTTCTTAAATGCAATATTTTGAGGAATTTGGGCAGATTTTGAAAATGTTCCCACTTTATTTTGCATACTCAACCCCAAACACAGCTGTATAAAAAAAACATCACAAAAGGCAGTCTTCATTTTCTGGCCATATTCTGAGAAGAGGAAAAATGAAACATATTGTGGCAGCTTGAAAGAGACATATCAAAAGACAGTGAGAAAAGATCTTTCAGCTTTTTGTCAGTGCACAAACAGGAATCTGCACACATGTAAGCTTGGAGATGGCAAGATGTGGTCAGACATGATTGTCCATGCTCTAAGCAAGAGGGTCGATGATGAAGTGTTCATTATATCTAAAGATTTTCTAATGGTCAGTTTACACTGAGCGGTACTTCAGTGAGTCGTACTGTTGATGAAATTCATAGTTAGATTTTTCCCCTGCTTGAGTAATTTGGAGTTGATGCAAATTCAAACTCGTGACCTTTAGGCCGGCAGGCTAAGCATATAGGCTCTACATACACCACCGTGGCTCCTAATTAACTGGATGTATGTGTATTATATATTTGCCTTTTTTCAACAACCAGGACAGAGAAAAGGAGATGGCTCTGGTAGCAATGCAGGAAGAAGTGAGGCAGAAGCTCAGAGAGAAGGAGGATGAGGTCCGACTTGCCCTTGAAGAGAGAGAGTTGCAGAAGATGGCAGCAGTGACAGGTCTGGATGAGCAGAAGGACAGACTCTTGCTGCAGATAGAAGAGCTCAGTTCTGTAAGGTTCTTAATTGTTGATTGTTCCTTGTTTGTGCTGAGCATATATAACTACACTGTGCACACTTATAATGGCTCAGTCTTCCTCAGCGGGGGAAGTGCTTGGAAGTTCATAGCAAAAGAGAATGGACATTGCCTACTACATCAAAAGCTGACATGTGATATCACAATGTCTAGTTTGAGAATGGAGGTTGAGGCAGTCACTCCTCAGAAATAAAATGCGACGGTACTGGTTTGTGGACACTGTTGGCAGAAGATGTTATCTGAACCTGTCGGCTTTTCATGGCCCTATTTCGCCGATTACATCACATCTTTTGCAGATAATGGCGTAAATAACATTGCAGCTTGTGCAATGGAATGCTTCACGTATGTGGAAGGTGGCATTAGAGAATACAACTTTCCCTTGGACCACATACGGGCAGGTTTTGCTTACAGGTTTATGGCAGGAGACTGTGCCCAGGTGGAGCTCAGAGGTAGAGTGTAACCAACTCTTGACTCATATATCCTTGAGGTTATGATTGTGTCTGTAGGCCACTAGAGGAAGTTCAGAGAAAAACGTGCTAATGGTAAGGTCAACCTGTAGGATGGAGAGATGGCCTGAAAAGAATGTTTTTGACATGGAAGTTGTGAGGATGGTAGGTAAGTGAGAGGATAGTCTATTATGATGTTTCAGCTTGGATATGAGGGCCTCATTGCGACTGAAAGACTGATCGTTGAAAGGCAGCAGATCGTTTTCAGGGTAACCTCGAAACTGGAAGAAATCCAGCATTTCCATGGCCCTGTGGTTGAAGTTGTCATTGTTCTGACACAGTATGCAGAGGAGAAGCTGGAGAAAGGAATGGAGTCCTTGCAGGAAGAATGATGATAGGATAATGACCATTACCTCCATGTCATGGACACTTTGGCAATCCTCAGAATTGAAGTGCAGGGGTACTTGTCCGTGGGCACCATTCTGCACGTCCAAAAGATTAATGGTGTGGTGGGGGTTCACTGTAAGAGAGGGTGTGGCTCCTGCAAGAAGAGGTAGGGGTTGACCAGTAAGTACAGTGATAGACACAGGTATCAAGGATATCCTGAACGTGAACATTTTTAAGATAAGATACTTTGATCATGTCATGAGAAGGTGAAAACTGGAGTATGTTGTGACATTGGGAAAGTTGGAGGGGAAAAGAGGCAGAGGGAAACAGAAAAGATGCTGGACAGTTTGACATCATGGCATGGAAGATCCTGTGTGTCAGAATTGCTTGAAAGTACCTAATACAGAAGATTGTGGATAATACATGACTACCAACGTCACAAGGCATGGACTAAAAGAAGAAGAAGAAGAAGATGGTTAGTAGGGAACCAAGTGGCCCTCTGGCATCTTTGGAGCTCGCCTCTATATCTGTGGGCCTCTCCGCTATTGACTATGGCTGCATCTTGTATTGCAGCAGTGCAGGCTTCTACTCAAGGGTTAATTACATTTGTTTATTCATTCATTTATTGTCCTGTTCTGCCATTATATGTCATATTGGGCTTGCAGTCAGTTTCTCCATTTCATTCTTTCCTGTGAAGTCACTTTGATATCATGGATGGAATCCATTCCAGCACCTTTGACTTCTCTCATCAGCGATCCTCTTAGGATTTCTTTTGGACATCCTCCTTTCCTCAATCCCTCTGTTTCCTATTTCAGTGCCTGTTTAGTAATTCTTTGTTTGTCTCTTCTCAGAATGTCTCCACATTTGATTTTGCTCGTAAATAATTTTACTTAAACCATTTCCAGGCAAAAATAGAACTTGGCAATAGATTTTCAAAATTCCAAGAAGATTCTGAACGTCAGATATCGAATTTGAAAGAGAGGCTGAACCAAAAAGAGGCTGAACACAGTAAAAAGATTCAAGACCTGCAGTCTGACCATGAGGAAGCACTAAAGAGGGAGATGAGTGTTTTAGAGCAAAAAGCTGCAGGAGAAATTGAGTTGCTGAAACAAAGGCATGCAGAGGAAGTCCAGTGTTTGATGGACAAACACGAGCAAGAATTACAGGTTAGTGTTGGCAGATATGTCGGTTAATGCACGCTATGCTTGTTAAGTGGGAGTTGCTAACATGGTGGCTTTGTGATTGTTAATGACATTTTTCTTGTTAAAGGGAAATTACTAACACGATGGCTAGGTGATTGTTAATGACATTTTTCTTGTTAAAGGGAAATTACTAACATGATGGCTAGGTGATTGTTAATGACATTTTTCTTGTTAAAGGGAAATTACTAACACGGTGGCTAGATGATTGTTAATGACATTTTTCTTGTTAAAGGGAAATTACTAACACGGTGGCTAGATGATTGTTAATGACATTTTTCTTGTTAAAGGGAAATTACTAACACGGTAGCTAGGTGATTGTTAATGACATTTTTCTTGTTAAATGGAATTTGCTAACACATTGGCTAGGTGATTGTTAATGACATTTTACTTGTTAAATGGAATTTGCTAACATGGTGGCTAGGTGATTGTTAATGATATTTTACTTGTTACGTGGAAATTGCTAACACAGTAGCTAGATACTTGTTTGTTAATGCACATTATACTTGTTAAGTTGGAGTTGCTAAAACAGTAGATAGATGCACATTGTGATTGTTAAGTGGGAGTTGCTAACAATGTGGATGGATGCTTGCCTACTCATCTAAAGAAAATGTCATGGAAAGTAAATGAAGCTGATGTGATTTTAACCACATCATCCATCGAGTTGTATGTGTGTATGAACCTTTCCAGACACAATGAAATAAAAACTTTGTGTCCATGAAATTCTTTTTGTATTTATCGACCATGATAAAAACAAAAATACTAGATAGTTAATAAGCTTCAACACTTTTATAGCCTAAATAGTATTATTCAAATAGAAATGAATAAGGCAAGACATAGGTTGAATAAACCACAAGGTGGGTGAACTGTATGCTTGCTTGCTTTCTTTCCTTCCTCTATTTTTTTCTTCTTATGTTTCTTTTTTGTTTGTTTTGATTTTAGTGTGTACCTGAATAAGATGATGAGAATGTCAACAAACATTGTATAAACATTTTGTGACTTAGTTTCCCATTGATACACTTTTACTGGCATATATTACAGGAATCAAATGCAGATACAGAGAACTACTACAAAAGTCAGTTTGAGAGTGAGAAAGAGAAGCTGGAAAGTCTTCTGTCTGTGACTGCGGGTCAGCTCGAGGAAATTAGAAATTCCTATTCACAGGCTCAGGCAAAGCTGAGGGAGACAGAACAGCTGCTGCTCATGACTGAAGCTGGGAAGATAGAGCAAGTTAGTGACTTACAAATAAATTGTTTTTGAAAGTTCACATGAAGTTTGTGTTGAAGTTGACCTATTCAATTACTATGAAATCACAACACTCGGGAAATCCCATAAGCACCCCATCCCCATCTTTAGCAGCCAGCAAAAAGTTTAACTCCAATCATACCAGCAGCAGTCTGATTGTATGTCTTTCTTGCCTTTCCTCTGTTGTATTACCTATGCAGCTGATCAAAAATTTAACATTTTAGACCTCCTGTTTACTGTCTTTGAGTGTTTGTGGTTCAAATCTTTGTTATCACTTGACTTGTTTTCTCTTTTATATTGAAACAAATTTACATAGCTATGTGCAGTGCTATTGGCAAGTGGCTCACGTTCTGTAAAAAGGAGACTGAACTACTTCTATTTTGTGTGGATGTTCCTCTACTGCTTATGCCATAAAGCATTGCATAGAGGCATTAGATGTAGTTTCCTGGCTTTTATACTACTGTTTTTGCCATAAAGGCGTTGCAGAGAGGCATAAGATGTAGTTACTGGCGTTTATTCTACTGTTTTCGCCATAAAGCGTTGCAAAGAGGCATCAGATGTAGTTCCTGGCTTTTATCCTACTGTTTTTGCCATAAAGCGTTGCAAAGAGGCATTAGATGTAGTTTCCTTTCTTTTATCCTACTGTTTTTGCCATAAAGCGTTGCAGAGAGGCTTTAGATGTAGTTTCCTGGCTTTTATTCTACTGTTTTTGCCATAAAGCGTTGCAGAGAGGCATTAGATGTAGTTTTCTGGCTTTTATCCTACTCTTTTTGTCATAAAGCGTTGCAAAGAGGCATTTGATATAGTTTCCTGGCTTTTATTCTACTGTTTTTGCCATAAAGCGTTGCAGAGAGGCATTAGATATAGTTTTCTGGCTTTTATCCTACTCTTTTTGCCAAAAAGCGTTGCAAAAAGGCATTAGATGTAGTTTTCTGGCTTTTATCCTACTATTTTTGCCATAAAGCTTTGCAAAGAGGCATTAGATGTAGTTTCCTAGCATTTATCCTTCTCTTTTTGCCATAAAGTGTTGCAGAGAGGCATTAGATATTGTTTTCTGGCTTTTATCCTTCTCTTTTTGCCATAAAGTGTTGCAGAGAGGCTTTAGATGTAGTTTTTTGGCTTTTATTCTACTGTTTTTGCCATAAAGTGTTGCAGAGAGGCATTAGTTATAGTTTCCTGGCTTTTATCCTACTGTTTTTGCCATAAAGTGTTGCAGAGAGGCATTAGATGTAGTTTCCTGGCTTTTATCCTACTGTTTTCTTGTTTTTCTCACAGCATTTTCTATACATCTCATCTTACATGTTGTAAATTTGCTGTTATATTTTTCTAGGACTGTCCATGTCTGGCATTCATAGCACAAAGCTGGTACAACGAATAGCACATTTGTCAGCCTTTTTTTCTGTGTGCATGTTGATATTTTGATGCCTCAAAATTTGCGCTATTTGGTAATTTATGTTGTTGGCCTTCTGTTTTCTGTTTCTCTGAACTGTATGTAATAAAACCCGGCTTTATAAACCAGCTTTAAGTTTTTTATACTCATCTGAGTTAAAAAGGATTAAAGTTTATTGATTGTGCTATCCTATTTACGTTTAAAATGTGTCTTTTTCGTTAATGCATTGCAACATCAAAGTAAATGTGACAAACCTCAAGCAAGTTGATATGTTTAAGTATTTGGGTACTCTGATAACATCATTTGGAAATTGTATTAAAGAAGTTGAATGTCTAATAGCTCAAGCAAAGGCAGCATTTTACAAAATGAAGAAAATTTTATGCAATCTTCCTTTGTCAGTTGACATGAGAAAGAGAATTCTTAAAAGCTATATAAATCCTATATTGATTTATATAAGTGAAAACTTATTTGGAAGCTGTGGAGATGTAGTTTTATAGACGAATGATGGGAATACTCTGGACATATAAAAAGAGTAATGAAGATGTCTTGAAACTGGCTCACGAAAAGAACTGATTGCCCACATCAGAAAGAGCCAATATACATTCTGTGGTCATGTAATGAGAAGGAGAAAACAGGAGTACATCGTGACGGTAGGAAAGTTGGAGGAGAGGCAGAGGGAGACCGAGAGAATACATGCTTGACAGTTTTACATCATGGCATGGAGATCATCTGAATCAGAGTTAGTTGAAAGTACACGAGACAGAAGGTTGTGGATAGACATGACTACTAACTCCACACGTCATAGACTACAAGAAGTTAATCAATCATATGAAACAGCATATTGCAAGAATTTGTGTATAAGAAGTTCACACTGATTTATTATTATACTTTTATATTGATAAAATAGTATTCACACCAGTTCTAAAATTAAGAATTAGATGCAATTTAGAAGCAGACTGTTTTTAGAAAATTGTGTGAAAAAGAAAATAGGGGCTTTTGAATTGAAATTCTCCAGAAATATTCTTAGGTACCAGGTATCAATATGAAAAGATTTATTGGCTTTCTGAAATATCTGAACAGCAAGAAAAATTGGCTCGTCAACAGAAGCTGCTCTTGGAAGCTGAAATGATTTGGCCATATCAAAAATTTCTGTAGCTGTAGCTTGGAAAGAACATTGAGGAGGGACTGATACTGGGTAAGAAACGCAGGATTCTGCCATCACAAAGATTGGCACACAACATAAGAGTCACCTTGAGTAGGAAAGTGCATGAGACAGGAACAAACGAACAAATGAACTTTATTTTCAATGGGTCACAAATTAGGCACGCAGACCTGTCTTACATTCGGCCCTTCCAAACTCCCATCTTTCACACAACAGTTGTATTTCATCAATAAAGCATGTTATGTTCATGTAATAATATGCATGTTATGAATATCAAGTCTAAAACAAAAGCATGGGTGGTAAAATGCATGCGCACACTCGCACACAAACACACACACACCAACATACACATGCAAACCCATCACTCACTTACACACTGGGGACTGCGTTTTCTTCAGGAAGGCTGTGGTGGAAGGAAGTTCTATAAAGGACCTGCAACATAATGATGATCATCAAAATTCTGTAGCTGATAATTAAATTTGGCTTTTTTTTTTTTTTTCAAGTTGCAGTTCCTGAAAAAAGGACAGTCTTTCACGGAGACCGCTGACCAGGGAGTTCAACAGCTGCTTGATTTAGAAAACAGTGCAGCTCCTCAGGTTTTTGAGAAGGCAGATGTGCAGCTCCATCTGGTCTGTGAGAATCTGTCCAAAGAGCTAATATCTGTAAGGGAAGCACTTTCTGCTTCTGAGCTTGAACTCAGTACACTGAAGACAGAGAGAGCTAAGATACAAGAGGAGCAGCAACAAAGACCATCTCAGAGTGATCAGGAAAAAAAAGAGTCTTATTCTGTATTTGTTCAAGAGCTGAAGGAGAGAATTGCAGAGTTGGAAGAGGAAAATCGGGGGTTGAAGAGAAATGTGGAAAACAACAAAATTCAAGTAGAGGAGCTAGAAAAATGTATTCAAAACACTTTGAATGACAAGAAAGCTACAGAATCTAAATCACAAGAACTGGAGGCTCAAGTAGGGCAGTTGCATGAAGTGATAAGGACTTTAGAATCATGTCAGAATACTGTGGAGAAGGAAAAGGCCAGTTTAGAGAGTAAACTGACCTGTCTGGAGAATATTGTGGAAGATTTAAAGTCATCAAAAGCGGAGCTTAATGAGAAGCTGCATGGAAGGCATGAGGCACTACTGCAACAGTCTGCAGAGGAGAAACAGGTTCTAGAGTCAAGGGCTAGTGAGTTTGCTTCACAAGTAGATATTCTGAAGGAGGAGATAGATGCTCTGAAGAAAGCTCTGTTATCAAAGAATGATGAAAATGTAGCTTTGCGTTCTGTTGTCGATGATAATACTGGTTTTGTCAGTTCTTTAGAAAGCAAGATTGAGAAATTGACTACAGAACTTGAGATAAAGTCGCAGTCGAATAGCCAGAATGAAGCAGCTTTGGCTAAAAGTCAGGAGAAGTTCGAAAAACTGAAAAATGAAGCTAATGCTAAAATTAAAGGCCTCAAAGAAATGAAAGATGTTCTCACAGAACAACTAAATCAGAAGCAAAAGGAATGTGAGGAAATGCAACATTCCCTCAAGCTAGAACAAGAAACTCTCATGAAGAATTATGAAGAACAGTTGAACAAACAAAAATTAGAAATGCAGGAATTGGAACAAACATTTAAGGAACAGTTTATTCAGAAACAGGCAAAGTTCAAAGAGAGAATTAACAAGTTGAAAGAGCACCATGAAAATATTTTATTAGAAAAAGATAAAAACTTTGAAGACAGTTTAAAGGACGTCATGTCTCAGAAAGATGTTGGTTGTGAAGATTTAACTGATCAGTTGGAGAAGGTCAAAGAAGACCAGTTGAAATCTCTGGAAGAAAAACATCAAGCAGCTATCAATAATCTGATAGCTGAATGGGAAATCAAATACCAGACAGTAAGCAACAGTCAAAGCCAGGAGCTTAACACAGTCACATCACAGTACCAACAACAGATTAGTGATCTTCAACAACAGCTCCTGGAGAAGGACAGTGTAATACAGCAACTAACTTGTGCAACAGCTGAGTTAACTCAAGAGTTGAATAATTCCAGAGCTAAATTAGACAACTTACAAAAGGAGGTTGAAGAGTTAAAATTAGAAATGATGCAGCAATCAGAAAAGTATGGTTCAGAAATTGAATCTCTCAATTTAATGTTAACAGAAAGAAATACTCACATTCAGCAACTGACAGCACAACTGGAAGCAGATAAGTCAGTATCAGAGTATGAGGAGAGGGAACAACTTATGTCTCAGATTGAGTCTCTAAGAAAACGACTCAACGAAAAGGAAGCCAAGCTTGAAACAATGGCTGGTACTATATCTGCAGAACAAGAACATCTGCACAAACAGCTACTTCGGCAAACAGAATTATCAGAAGATTTGCAGGCTGAGAACAATGCTCTGTCAAAGCAGCTGAAAGATATTGTGGGAAAGCATGAAACTTTACTGCAAGAGAAAGTTGCTCTTCTCACTGGCATCAAGCAGCAAATGCATCTTCTCAAAGGGGAGCATGATACATCAAAAGACACTCATACAAGTTCTAGTGAGGAAACCCTTGTACAAGACACAGATACTCAGAGCTTAGAAGAATGTTTCAGACAGTTGAAAGTAGAGAAAGATACAAAGTTACATGAACTAGAATCTGAACTAGAAACCAAAGTAAAGCAAATCACTTCATTACAGGAAGAAATTACACAGATTCAAGTTACTAGTGAACAAAAGCTAGCTGAGTTCACCCAGAATCAGGCTAAAGAATTAGATGCATTGAGATTGGATTATGATTCTCAGATATCCCAGCTGTCATCAGTTAATTTAGAGCTGAAGAATGAAACAGACACGTTGAAATCACAGCTTAATGAAATAATTCACAGCTATGAAAACAGGTTGAAAGATGAACAGATGAAACTGGAAACTCAAATGGTGTCACACAATGAACAAGTACATGTTTTAAAACAACAGCTGCATGATGTTCAAGATAAATTGCAGTCCACATTACTTCAGAGCGTGCAAGAGGGAGAAGAGAAGCATCTGGCTGAGATTCAGTCACAGCAGACAGTTGTAGACAGAGTTAAACAAGAGGCAGAACAGAAGATGAAGGATCTCAGACAGAAATACATTGCCAAACTAAAGGAAGTACAGAATCAAGCAAGCAGCACCATAGGAGTCCTGGAGGACACTTTACAGATGGAAAGGGCAGCTAAGAATGACATGCATGATGAACTGACCAGGGCAAATACTCGGCTTCTGCAGCTGGAAGAAAAGACAGGGACTTCACGAAACACTATTGTAGATTTAGAGCACAAAGTTGTGGAGATGACAGCTCTGTTAATGTCAAAAGACAGTGAGATTTCAAAATTGAAGGCAGATATGGCAGAAAGTGAAAAAAATATGCAAGAAATTCTCGATGAGACAGAAACAAACTGCAAACAAATTAATGATAAGTTAACAGAAGCTGAAGCAAAGCTCAAAGAAGAAGAGTCAAATCAACAGCAAGTAAATTATCAACTTTTGGAGAAATTAACTTTGCTGCAGGAAATGGAGACATCCATCAAGGTTATGGAGAGCAGATGTTCAGAGTTAGAAACAGTGCATAGACGGGAGAAAGAGAAGTATGAGCATGAACTGCAAGAGAAAAGTAATGCATTCCTTGAGCTTCAAGATTTATTTCAGATAACACAGAATCAGTTACATGAAGAAGAGAGAAAGAATGCTGAGCTTGATGGTAACTTAAAGTCAACTTTATTAGCATTAGAACATGTTCAAACAGAGAAAGTTAACATTCAAGGAGAGTTGCAGCAGTTAACTGCCAAACAGATGGATTTACAATCAAAACTACTTGAGGTTGAAGTAACACTTGAAAAGTCCTTGACAAATCACTCCTTGTTGATGAAAGAGCTGGAGACTAGATTATCAGAAAGTGAATCTCAGAAGGAGCAAATTGAACATGAACATGAGATCAAGCTAAATCAGCTAAGACTAGCACACACCTCTGAACTGTCGGCCCTTTCTGAGTCTCTGGAGGCCCAGAGCAGTTCCAAGGTAACAGAGTATAAGAAAAAAGCAGAAGCTTACATTTCCCAGATAAAGCAACAGCTTCAAGATGAGAAGGCTGCTTTCATTGATAGACACCAGGAAGACATTACAAAACTACAAAAGACAATCAGCGTTCTCACAGAAGAAGTAAATGATATTAAACTTTCAAAAGAAAAACTCATTTCTGAGAATGAAAACATGGTCCGGAATATGAGATCCCAGTTTGAAGAGGAGATGAAGTTGAAGCAATCTGTGATAGAAGAATATGATCAAAAACATCAAGAACATATTCAGTCTGAATTGAATCTGAAGAGAGAGATAGATTCATTTCTTTCAGAAAAATGTTTGTTGTTAGAACGGATGTCTGTGATAGAGAGGGAGAACAGTGACTGGAAAGTGCATTATTCTACACAGAATGAGGAATTGATGGCAAAGAATAGTGAACTTCACAGGAAGTTAGAGTTACTGCAGTCTGATAGAGATGAAGAGCTGATAACTCTGAAAGCAGAACTGGCAGACCTGAAAGAAGAGCTAGAAAACACAGTGAACAAGCTACAAAAATCCAGTGAAGCTGTTCAGGAAGAACAGATATCAAATGTGGATGAGATTGTTAATCAAACTAATGAAGTTCTTATCAGGAAGGACCAACAGACAGAGACTCATTTTAGAGAAGCATTAGGTAAGCTTTTTATATTGTCACATTAATATGTTTAATAATTGATCTTTGGTTTTGCATTTGACAGTGGGGGAAATATATATTTATATATAGTGTATTTTTTTTTTTTTGCTCGTGAGTCCCAGCCAACTAGTTTAGCCCCAATCCACACTGCGCGTAAGCGGCGTGAGAGATACTCTTGGCGGTGGCGGTATAGTCCCCGGGAGTCCGCAATTGACACATGACTGAGACCCTGTTAGGGTATATTTTCTGCCTCGATACTTTGGGACTTTTATTCAGAAGATGACCGGATATTCTATAGTGAGGTGTGAAATGGTGAAGTAAAGGGAGATGTTATCGTTGAGAAGGATGAGAGTATCTTAACAGAGAAGAAATCAAATGGTACATGTTTTACTATATTGCTGGTTAAAACTAAGGATTTTTGGCTTAGAACTAATGAGATCAGAGAAGGCTAACGCTGTAAACAAATACCTGATGAAGTCAGATGTTCTGCCAAAAGGTCCAGATATTTCTGCTGTGCTGTAAACAGTCGCTATACAATTGTATCACTCTGGCGAACGATGAAGAAGAAGAATTAATGAGATGAGCTCAAGAAATTAGCCTTATGTGGGAAAAATTATTGATTAAAGAAGCAAACAAAAACAGAAAAAGTGTACATGGAAGCTTAAATAGTGGGACAGTAAATAATATTAGTAAAATAAACATTAAAATATCAAATGGCATGGAAGGTTCAAGGTCATGATTGCCAAAGTCACCAGGCATTTGGAAGCCACGTCAGGTTCTTCATCAGTAATTATTTCTGTAGCATTATTTTATTTACTGTAAAGTATCTGCCCTCTCCCTCTCCCCCCCCCCCCCCCCCCCCCACCACCACCACCTGACTTATTTTGTCTCTGTATTTCCTGATATCTTTCTTACGAAAATACACAAGCACATGTAACCCTAAATTGCTGATTAAATATATTTGTCATTGTTGAAACCTGTCTTCTTTTAAATTGTACAGACACATTTGCTACTCTGAATCAATCTAATATGAATATGGTTTGATTAGCTAGCTTTCTGTTTCTGAGAGAGCAAGGGAGGTCGGGGAAAAAGTAGTGGGAAAGGGGGGGGGGGGGTGAACGGTGAGATGAGAAATATTAATATGACATTATATTCTTTTTATAATTTTATTGTCTGCTCTGCTGTTGTAAATATTGGATATGTTTTTATCTACTTCATGTATGCATTATTTATTTCTGATGATTTTTTTTTTTTTTTTTTTTTTTTTTTTTTTTTTTTTTTTTTTTTTTTTTTTTTTAGTATCCAGAAGCCATGAGTTGTTAACCCTTAGGCTCGGTATTATGGATATCGCAACCTTTCGGCCTTGATTCCATTGTAAATACCGTAAATCTGGGAGAAAATGTGGCTTTCCTGCCTACCCCCGGGATTGAACCCGGACCACAAGGAGTACGTCACCCGGTCTCCGCGAAATCCGGTTTAGCCAATTCCGCTAGAGAGCCGGGCAATTTCTGATGATACTGTATTGTCAGTGTGTGTGTGTGTGTGGGGGGGGGGGGGTGGTGAGATAAGAAACATTAGTGTGACATTATATTCTTTATTTTAATTATATTGTCTTCTCTGCTGTTATAACTATTGGATCTGTTTAACCTACTCCCTAGTATGCATTATTTATTTCTGATATTACTGTAGTGTCTTTTTACAAGAACAGTTTCTGCAACTTGAATATATTGGGATATAAATTAGATTAAAGTGAAAACTTTCTGTATAGCACCAGTGAACTTTGAACTTAATCTTTACAGAGGAAAATGAGCACAGCAGGCAAGATTTAGTGCAGGAACACCAAAGAGCTCTGGATGAACTGAGGCAAGAGATACTAGAAAAAGACAAGTACATTGAACAGCTGCGTATGGATTATCAGTCTCAAATTCAGGTAACAAATATATAATTGGTTAAGTTAATGATTACAAGTTGATCATTGCTGTAGAATTGAGGAAATATTTACAAGGGTTGATCATTAGGTTCCGAAACAAACTTTTGTTTCTGATCTCCTTCAGAGAAGTGCCCTTCTGACTGTACACACATAATCCAGCATTTTTTTAACAAGAAACGAAATAACCTCTGGTAGGCACTTTCTGTAGTAGCTCTCACTTATCTCATATTGCTTCGACTTGAATCTACTCAGTCTTAGAACCTGTGAAATTGTAGGCTTTTGGCCCAATATTGAGGACTATGCATGGCAGAATGTTTAGCTTCAAAGTTATGTTTGCTTCTGACAACTCTTTTCTAAGGTAATTTCCACATATGGACGGAAGTATGTGGTTTTGCTGCTTACACTACTGAATTAAGTAGTTGATGCAGCACTGTATGCTGTGTTTTTCATTTGGAATACCTTTCATTTGTGCAGCGGTTAGTTAAGTCATGGTTTTCAGTATGGCTGGTACCTGGTTTATATGTGAGCTGGCTGAATACCTTATGTAATAATTTTACATGTGTATGGTCAACTTTTCATGACCGACTACTTCCATCAACGACAAACTGCATTTCTGGTCTTTCTTTGGTGCCTTTAGCAACTGCCATATGCATTTACTGTGTGTGCATATTTCTGGATTGTGCCAGGGCTAACTGTTTTTTCACAATTTTTCAAATTTGACAGTGAGGGACATTTTATTTGATTTTCACTGGAACAGAAACGGAGCTTGTATAAGGTGACCCAGTTGCAGTGAAGTGGAAACCTTGACTACGACTACGACAATGAGAAAGTCACAGTTTTGGCTTTATCAAGAAGTTGGCTCACAGATCAAGTATTTTGCCATCACCGTCTAATTTATAAATAAATCTTCGGCTCACATTTTCTGGCATGCACAAAATGAAATTTCAACATCCTTTGCAACCTGTCAGATATTTGTTAGCATGTATAATTTCTTACATTTAATGCTTTCTGGTCTGTGGGAGGTAGATGGTCTGTTTTGATGCATATTATTTTTGGAGTTTTGGCTGTCACTTTGAAAATGGGAACAACACTCACATATCTTTGATTACCTAAGACAAGTCTTTGTAAAATCTGATTGCAGCATTTTAAAGTCTTATAACCAGTGTTTTCAAGACAAAAGCAGAAATCAATAGACATATAAGCTGCTCAATATTTACATAAATTTTGAAAATCTGCCAAGCATTTCAAAGTCACACAGTTATAGGCTTCCTCTCTGCACATGCGCAGAGATAAGCAATTTTTATTTTATATGTGCATCTTTAAATGACTGTTAATGCACTGTATTATTATTACTTTGTTATATATTATTCCCTAGGAAAACTTCAGTCCTGGTAGCACATGATCAGCCTTTGCGCTATTAGCATCTCATTATTTTGACTGCTTACTTTGTGTTCAGTTGTCAACTTATTTTAAAATAATATACTATCATAGATGTACATTCAGTGCTTTACAGGAACAGTCAGCGTACTTGCTTTATCTTCTTCCTTTGTTATCTCCCTGTTACCAGGTTGTAGCCCAGTGTCAAGGTTTTCTGTATCTGTCTTGCACTTCTCTGGTGGCTTGGGTGATGGATTTGTTCATGTCTTTGCAGGTTTCAGCTACACCATGTATCCATTTCTTGAATCTTTCCCTCAGCTTCTGCAATGTGCTGCTGTAAAAGGTCTCATGTGCAGTTTGGTCTGGCTGCATTCTCACTAGAAATGGCCAAACCATTTCATTCTGTGTCTGTCAATTTAATCCTAGACATGATCATATTCCAGTCTTCTCTCTAATGCTTACCCTTTGCCAATAGCTGAGAAAATTGAAGCTGTTATGAATGTTGCCTTAATGCAGTGAAGACAATACCTGTCTATACTGGGTAAATTTAGGAACTGGCATAAGTGGTTGATCATAGCTATAGAATTGAGGTAAATGTATACAAGGGTTGATCATTAGGTCTGAAACAAACTTTTGTTTCTGATCTCCTTAAGAGAAGTGCCCTTCTGATTGTACAAATTAATCCAAAAGAACCTCTGGTAGGCACTTTCTGTAGTAGATCTCACTTATCCCATAATGCTTCGACTTGAATCTACTCAGTCTTAGAACCTGTGACTTTTCATAGCTTTTTTTTTTTAAACATTGCGGGAATGAGAAATCACAGGCTTTTGGCCCAATATGGCAGACTATGCATGGCAGAATGTTTAGCTTCGAAGTTATTACTCTTTGGTGCATTCCATTGTAATATAAAATAATCAGTTAGGTATAAAAATTGAAAAATTAGCTAGCTTTCTGTTTGTGAGGGCAAAAGAGAAGAGAAGTTGGGGGGGGGGGGGGAGGAGGGGGGAGTGGAATGGCGAAAAGAAGAGAAACATGTATTAGGCATTAGATTCTTTATATTCAGTAAATTTTCTACTCTGCTGTTGTAAACCAGTTAATTAACAAGTGAGTTTGAAATGTCAGTCCTTTCAGAGTTCACAAGAGAAGAAGATCTTAGAGCTTCAGTCTGAACTGGCATCAACCAAAGTTAACCACAAACAAGAAATGACAGCTCTTGAAATGAGACTGAGAGTTGAGCATCAGGATAACCAATCAAAAGACAGTGCTCAGTATCAAGAATACAGCGGTTGGACGGATGCTTCTGACAGTGAACAGAAAGTGAGTGTGTAATTTATTATTTCTTTTTTTGCCTTTTCTCCCCCAATGGATCATAGGCCCTCAGCCAGCTCACACACAGCCATCTTGCCATTTCATTCAGCACACCACCATGTCCTCTGCATCTTTTTAATTTCATCATCTCTAGCTTCCTTGTCCCATGGTTCTGTGTGTGTGTGTACGTGCGTGCATAAGCACCCGCTTGTGTGTGTGTAAATGGTTGGTTGATTTTTATGGCTTCTGTTTTTTATGGGATGAAGTAGATACCCCCAAGCCCAAGTCTACTTTTAGTTGCCTATAACAACATGCCAGGTAGGATGCACTATCTTTGCTTTCTACAAGAGCCACAGTAACCAACCAGCACATGTAATTTCAGTACAGCAGAAAATTGCATGACAACAGGTAAAACATGTATTATAGTATATTAGCTCATTTGCTGCCTTGCTTTTGGCTTTTATTACTTCTTCTGTGTTCACCCTAGGCTGTAAGATCTGTGCATTTTGGCTCAACGCACTAGTTTTCAGCACTCCCTTAATTAGTCACCTTTTATGACATGCTTGTTCGTGGGACAATGGGTCTCTTCTTCTTCCCCCTTAAAACGGGGTCCTGGAATCCACATGGGGACGTTCTTATCACTGAATGAATAATAAGCATCAGCAGCATCATCATTATCCAGTATTGTTTCTTCATTAAAAGTTGACAGTAATTGATTTACATCTTCCTCATTGTTCGTCCCAGTGACATCAATGGTATTGTCTGGTGTATAGAAATGATGTATAGTTAATGTTTATGGAAATTCTTCTTAAACATCTGAGAACAGAGTTAGTTCCCCTGCCTTGATTTCACCTTGAAAAGTCCAGTACAGAATTCAGTTAAAATAGAGGATAGGCACATCCACTGTTTTTAGTTGTAGCGAATTTTCAAGGACCCTTTTCACACCACTGGTGCATTAGGCATATGGTGCTAGGTCCTTATTTTTTTAATTGCTCAGTATCACGTTGAAGAGATGTTTTAGAAAGTTATTTATGAAAATGAGTTAAGTTGATGAATTACTTACTGAACTAATATCATGTTTTTTATTTAATTACTTTTATCATATTCATAGAACTAATTTATGCTTCAACTACTTCACTTGCAAAAATACTGAACAGGACACGTTTGAACATGAGAGAGAGGATTCCACTCTGCAACAGCAAGTAATTCTTCTCACTCGAGAGATTGAACAGATGAAACAGGAGCACAGGTTGGTTTTCATTAGTCATTAGAAAACATTTGAATCTAAATCGAGGCAGATTTTTTAAATAATTGACTTGGGCTCCAGCTGAGTCCAACCTACAAGGGTTGCAAAAACATTTTGAGGGAAGTAAAAGTAGCTGGTCTGATTGTGTGCAGTTGATCTGTAGCACTGTATGCCTGAAGTGCAGTGATGTGAGAAAGATCATTATTTTATTTTTTCTTATTTTAGAGGACACAGTTATTGTTAAGATGTTACTTTTTTTTTAAATCACTTAGAAATTATGAGTGCTTATATGAGTTAATTTAAATAATGTCTGAATGTAATGTTTAGAGTTCCACAGTGTGTTAAAGTCTGCAGTGAAATGCCTAAAACCTGTGAAAGTAGCATCAGCATTCTTAAACTAATCCCAGGTAATTCAGATGTGCACAACGACTAGATAACTAATTTTTGAAGTGGAACATGTTAGCAACTTATTTTATAGGCAGGGAGTTGTGATAAAACCTGTTGAAGAGAAGGAAATTGTTGTGAACATTCACAAGCATCTGTGTGATGTGTATAGGAGTTTCACAGTTGACATGAGTGAAGGCAGTCACTGGGTTATGAGAATCAGAGACCAGAAAGTTGAGATACGGAGCTGCTTGATTGGCCGCACTGTGGATGTCTTACTACAACCGCCAACACAGAAATGTTAAAATGCACCAAGAACATTATTCTTTCTGATAAACAAATCACTACTCAACATTTGGCCTTACAGCCATCAGTCGGCAATGGTAGTGCAAATGCAGTTATGGGTTCTGCAAAGTCTCACAAATTACCACTGATTGCAAAGGAAAGCAGTTTCTTCTGAATTTTTGTAGCATTTCATTCAGGAGACAGAAATTTTGGCAAAGATCATTAGAGGTGATAGAACCTGGGCATATCATTTTGAACCTGAGATAAAAAAGACAGTGGAGTGGCATCCTCTGCAGTCCCCATGAAGTCAGAAATTCAAAACAACTCCTTCTAGAAGGGTCATGATCACAAATCTTTGAGGCATGTGAGGTGTGATTCTTATGAATGTTATGCCATGAAGAGAGAGAATAAATTCACAAGTTTACTTTCAGACATTGACAAATCTCAGTCAGTGCTTTTGCAGAGTTCAGCGACACACGAATCCAGCAGAACCTGCTTGTCCTTCTACACTAAGTTTGCCCTAAATAAACAAGTCTTGCCAAACAGGAAGCAGTCACCAAATTGGGTTGGACTGTACCACCCCATCCACCCTAGTCTCAGTTTGGCACTTTCTGATTTTCATCTTTTTGATCCACTTAAAGATGTACTCTGTGGGACAAGGTTTGAAGATGAAGGAGTGATTCATGCAGTGAAGAAATGGCTACATGATCAAGACAAAATCTCTTACAAGCTAGGAACACCTATGCCTGTTTCGATCTGGTGTAAAGCCAAACAAATCGATTGGGATTATGTTGAATAGTACCAATGATTACATGTCATATCCTGTATCTTCTTGTTCTTCTTCTCCTCCTCTTCCTACTTGTATCTCATCGAAGTGTCGGTGGGGAGATATAACATTAATTTATTAGCTCTGTCAAGAGCACTATTAAGACTGATGTTCATTTCTGTAAGGCTGTTCTTAAAGCTATCACTATATATTTTCCAAGGTCTTCCACTTGCTCTATACCCGTTGTAACGTTTTAGCATGGCTCACTGTGGCAGATAGTACCAGGGCATTCTTGTTAGGTGTCCAAACCACTTCATTTGTTGTTCTTTTTGACCTGTAAGACTGGCTTTATTCCTAGCATTCGTCTGATTTCATGATTACGTATTCTGTCTTTCCTTGAAACTCCTGCAGCTCTTCTAAGGCATTTAATCTCTGTTGTCACAATTTTACGTTCATTTGAGTATGTAAGTGTCCATATTTGGCACTGATAGCATAGTCTTGGCAAAAAAATAGTTCCTATAAGATTCACTTTAGTACTCCGGGGTATCTGTGTGTTAAAAGGGGAGATAGTTGCCCCATTACTTGATTACCTTTGGCACATCTCAAATTAATTTCTCTGTCCAGTTTTCCCGCCGGTGGTGAAAATTGCTCCCAATACTTAAATTCCTCTGTTTTTTTTTTCTTAAAGTGTTTTTTAAATTTAATTTCTAAATTGTCTTTCTGTCTTACTATCACCATTGTCTCTGTCTTCGTAGTGTTTATTTTCATATTATATTCCTCCCCTTTGTTACTAATTTGAATTAGGTGGTAAATCCTGTGTATTGTATATAAATTTCATGATTTGTTTTTTCTTTGTAGTAAAGAGCTCCTGAGAAAAAAGATGTGCATATTTTTTTTGACATCCCTCATAATGACCTCCAGGCTTACAAGCAAACTTGCTAAATATGCGCTTTAATTGTGTGATACTCTTGTAAGATTCCAGCTGCAGGTAATTTGGCAATGGTATTGAGTGTCGATCATAAAGAAAGCACTAGCACCTTGCTGAACATGAAACTGCCTTGAAAACCAGACAGCATCAAAAGAAAAGGCTGGGGTTTGTTCTGCAACATCCTGTAAAGGTTATGCAACTAACTTTTATTGTCATTTTCTCAGGTTCCTCATTGTACATTTTCTAATGCATCTATACCATCAGTTATCATACTCTTTTTCACATATTGTTGCAAAGAGTTGTGTTTTGCTGTTTAAATGTTAGTGCCTATGCTAATTAGACCTTCATTCTTATTTTAGACTTGAGCTTGCAGCCCTTAGCAGTCATGAAGTGGGACACAACTCATCGCAGCAACAACTAGTTTCTGTACCTGCTCAGCTCAATTTGGATGCACTTGATCCCAATTTTTCAGCCGATATGCAAAACTTGGAACTTGTCAATATGGACTTAAAGGTAGATTATTCAGACTTCTATTTTGTTGCTGTACATTTCAGTTGTCTGCTTTTGGAGGTTTCAATGCACATAAAAATCTTGTATAATCACTTATAGAAATGTGTTCTCTAGGGAACTGGTTGGTTGATGAATCCTTTGGAAAACTGACTTTTAACTCATAAATATGGTTGATTTAGAGTCATTATCTCTTACTTCAAATGAAAGGGACATCGGCTATCCTCCGAATAACGGGCACAAAATATGGCGGCCAAAAACAGGGCTTCAAAGATGCAGGAGATGTGAAAGCTGCTGCTCGTGAGTCCTAGCCATCTAGTTTAGCCCCAATCCACGCGGCGTGGGGGATACTCTCGACGGTGGCAGTAGTCGCCAGAAGTTCGCAAATTAAGTCGCCGGAAGTGCACAATTGACACATGACTGAGGCTCTGTTAGGGTGTTTTTGTGGCCGCTATAATATGTGCTTGTTATTTGGAGGATAGCCAGGACATCCCCATAGAAAATGTTTAGCAGAGCTCTCCTTTTCTTTAAGTTTGTTGCCCTGTCCCTCTGTGACTCATTCACATAAATGCTGTTTAACCCGTCTTTTTCCAATGGCTTGTCGTCATGAAGCCGTGTTAAATGCAGTTGGTTTTATTTGCACCTGCTCAGTTTTTAGGAGGTGCGGATATGAATATATTTACTCAGAATGAGGTGGGGGGGGGGGGGGGAGGTTGCTTGTGAACTAAATGGCTTTTACTAATTGACATTTGACATAATTTCCATGTAGTTTCAAGCCTAGAAGTCACGGGTCATGGTATGAGTCTTCCGATACATATTGTTTAGGCTCCAGGGGATGTTTTTCATTCAGTGCTCAGCTCCATTCATGTTCAATAATTACTCCCTTTATATATTTTGTTGGAAAAAAAAAACATTTTTTTTTTAAATGTAGACAAAATAAAATTAATTTTTTTCTTTTTACATATACTAGTCCAATTTTTTTTTTCTAAAGAATTTTTGGGAGAGTTTCTAAAGGATCATACCATTTTCTGTGTTGAAAAGTTAAAGTTAAGAAACAGTAGTGTGTGTGTGTGTGTGTGTGTGTGTGAATGTTAGGCCAGTGCTGTTTCTTCACATCTAAAGAATTAGAATGTCATGTTTCAGCTCATTACTTTTGGAGTGGCTGAGATTTAGCCACATTCATACCAGACTAATGCCGAAGACAGGACTGTGGAAGTGGACTACTGACACATTCAATGTGTACCAATAATTTAATACAGACTACACAGATTATCTGTCCTGTTGGTTTAATGATCTGAGCCTTCAGTAAAATAGCTTTTTGCTTATTCATTTGAAATTTCAGGCACAAGTTTCACAATTGTATGGAGAGTTGAGTCTTTACAAAATCAAGGAAAAGGATTTATTAAGAAAGGTAATACAATTGATTGCTGTCATTTCATAAGAATGTAGCAGATGTAGACTTTAAAATGTTACTTATTATGATCAAATTTAAAACAGCTTTATTTGTAAGATGATGCCAAATCTGTCAGTATTTCTAATAAGTGCCAGTCAAAAATTAAAGTAATTCTGAAATGGTATGATTGTTTGTTATAGTTCAGACTGCTGGTCTTTGTGGTTCAGACTTCATGAATCTAAACTTCAATAGAGTAGTTTACATTAAATATATGTTGATGTTTCATTAGTTGAAATTTATTGTCATATTAGGAGTGAAGTAATTACTTAGTAATTGTTTTGTCAGCATGTGACCTTATCTATTGATGTAACTTTATAGTGAGAAAATATACTACTTGCTTCCATTGTAGGGTTCCTTAGACTTTCATTTCACATTTTGAATTTCTAAAAACTGATTTTTTTTGCATCTCCAGACCTTTGCTGACAATTCACATGACTGTCTTTGAAATTTTATGTTCCTTATTGTATGAGACATTCATGGAATTCACAGGATTTCTTTTTTTTTTTTTTTTTTTTAAAGATAAGTCAGACAATAAAATTATATTTCAAAAAGGGAAGAAACCTGTTTATGCCCGTTGTGCATCGAGTATATGACGGGAGACTAATATTTATGTAGACCAACTGACGCTTGATGGGGGAATGTGGTCAGCATCCTGCTGGTTACTTTTACTTCCCAGGACTTTACCTGGTACCAATTTTAGGCTGTTTTTGTTAAATTATGACTTGATGCAGATTCAGACTCAAGACCTTCAGGACGGCAGGTGAACATCGAGCTGTTGCCCCATCACAGGTCCTAGAAATTATATTATTGTTATAATAAATAATAATATTGTTATTATTTACATATGAATATAACTGCATTTAAGTGTACTTTTTATGCTTTTTTGGCAAGACATTGTGAAAAGAGTTGTGTGATGATAGAAGTAGTCGTTGTTTATGGAAATAAGACCCAATGACAATTGTATGCCATGTCTATAAATACAAGCCAATACAATTTTTATTTTGTATTATTTCCTACCCTTATTACTGTTTATTTTGAAATATCTTTTAAACAATTTATCTGCTTAATCATTAGTAATTTTGTTTGCTTAATCCAGCTCTTGTAATTTAATGAGTTAACACAATTTTTGGATTCCATTTTGTCAATCATTCAGATGGAAAATCTGGAACATGGAAGAAAGAGCACGAGTGATGATGATGACCCTCCCCTTTCCTTGGACGGGTCTTTTTTGAACCACACAGACTCAGCTGTTTTTAGAGAACCCACAGAGTTTGAGGTGAATATAAGCATGTTAGCTTCAGTTTGCCATAATTATAACTTGGAAAAGCATAACTGTTTCTTGAGTGTATTTACAAGGACTAATCTTTATTAGGTCAGTTGTCTACCTTATCAGAATTATTCTTGAAGCTGCCAGTCCTTATCTGCATAATATTTATCTTTTTGGAAAGATGCAAATAAGATAACAGTGGTCCAGTAGCAGTTACTACCATTGGGGAGCGAAGTGTTCGACTTTCACACATTCTATGCCAGGGTTATTCAGCTAAGTTTTTTCAGAGAAATTAGGGATCATTACAGGCCAGAGGTCCGGGCCCCAGCATAGAAAGATAATTAATACCATACAGTTGGCAATGCTCCACTGGGCACTTGTTAGATCTCACCGGGCTGGATTCAACCTGCAGGCCACCAGTTGAATAGTTCTTTTCTAGGCATGACATACACTGTAGTGTGGCCAGTGCCTTTGCTCATTACCTTTCTTTCCCAGAAACTCTAAAATTTAGTTTTACGAGTTGGGGGCCGTGCTGGTCAGAAGATCTCCTGATCCTTTCTTTGCTGGAAATGGAACCTGGACCACTGTTTCTATGCACAAATACAAGTTTGATCGTGTGGGCAACTGCTGATCTGTTGGTGACTTCTGCTACCATCAATGATGAACTGCATTTCTAACACTGTTTGTGTTGGATGGCTACCATATGCTTTAATGCGTGTGTATGCTAGATATGCTGAGACAGCAGTCTGTCAATCTTTCCATAAGGGGCAGTGATAAACATTCTGTGTGTTTTTCGTTGGCACAGGAGCGTAGCAAAGATGGGGTGACCCGTTTGCTATGAATCTGAAACTAAGACTACCAGACTGCCAGACAAGTTTGCAGTGAGAAAGATTGTTAAAGTACAGATAGTGCCTTTACCATTGTCTACATGCTATCCGTGGCTTAGGCGTTGCAAGTCCGACTCGTAATTCCAACTTACCATGATCGAAACGCACTGCTGTTTGCATGGAGTTTTATCATCGTATAGTGCGTCGCAGGTCGACCCAGCCTAAAATGGGTACCAGGATGGCTGTCCTGGAGAAGTAAAGGCCGCCGGCATAGTGTTGACCGCATTACCCACCTAATGCCGATTGGTCTGTAAAAATATGGGATGCTCTTCCCATATACCCGATGCACCTAAGGCGTGAAAGGGATCTTTACTTTTATTTGTGAACAGGCATGATCATTTTGTTTAAAATATGAAAAGTAAACATTTTTGCCTAGAGAAGCCGCAAACCTGGCACTTCTGGTAGGCTCCAGTTCCCTGTTAATGCTGCTTTCGCAGCCTGTCTTTAGTGGCATGTTTACAAGAAGTCTAGTTAACCCCGTTTGTTGTTTTTTGCGCCAGTTCAGCATTTGCGGGTTGAGTGGTGGGGGGGGGGGGGGGGGGGGGGTCCTCTGGCAGCCACATGGCTTTTTAAAAGTCATTACAGCATCACAGTTTTCCATAGGCCTCAATGTTACAGGTCATGGGGTCATGGCATGAATCTTCTTCTTCTTCTTCTTCACTTCCTCTTTTACCGCTGTGGGTGTCGAGGGAGATATAAGGTTCTGTTTCTAGCTCTTCAGGTCGCCTCGACCATAGGCACATCGTGCTGCTGTAGAGTTTCTCTGATGTTATCCTTCCATATTGTTCTTGGTCTACCTCGTGCTCTACGTCCTTATTCTATTTCCATGTATGCTTTGTATGGTATGGTGTCACAAGGCATTCTCTCTAAGTGGGCAAACCATTTCACTTGCTGTCTTCGTATGTAATCCAGAATTCGTTCTGTGTTGACTTTTTCTCTTATGATCTCATTCCTGATCTTATCTCTTATGGTCACTCCTACAGCCCTTCTCAGACATCTCATTTCCATGGTTACTAATTTTCTTTTATGGTTTGTTGTGAGTGACCATGTCTGGCACTGGTAGCACAGAGTTGGAATAAATATGCTTTGAATTAGATGTCACTTTGTGCTGATTGGGATTGTCTTATGCTGGATTGTCTAACTGTCCCAATACTTGGTTTGCTTTACTGCATCTAATGTAAATTTCTTTATCCAATTTCCCATCTTCGGAATCACTGAGTTTAAATGTTAAGGCCTTGAGAATGTAATCACTCTGTTAATGTTTGTTACTTACATATATATATATATATATATATTTATATCTATATATATATATATATATATATATATATATATATATATATATATATATATATATATATATATATATATATATATATATGTTTTTTTTTAAGTAACAGATGTAAAACATGTATCAGTCTTCTTCTGCGATCCTTCTGTCAGAAAACTTATATCATGAGGCGGAACCTTTATGAAATCTATCATGCTGTCTATACCTCCTTGTGTACCATACAGTTTTGTCTTCATTGTGGTTGGAACAGGTTGTATCTCTGTTGGCAGCATACCGTTGACAGTGTTGGAGCACATGCTCAGCATTTTCTGGTGCCACATCTCCATGTTTCCTGCAACAAAGAGTTTGACCATATGTTGACAAAGTCTGTTGTTACCTGTCCTTAGACTAAATATAATGCATGTAATAGTGACCTGTGTAAAAATGTAATTTTACTCATTTTTTTCTGGGACTTTACAATGAACCTGACATATCTTTTAAAGTTACTGGGGCGAAAGGGTTAATGTTGACAAAATTTAATTGACCCAGGTTATAACATATTGCCTCGCCTCTTTCCGTATAACAGCTAGCTGCCTGCTGAGAAAGTCAGACAAAGCTTTGCTTCTGTAGCTCCAGTGACAATCCTAAGGAATCTCCATTAAAATATGAGATCTTATGGTAAAAGAAGTCTAATTTCTAGGGGCTGTGTGCACAGTACTGTGGATGGAGAGGAGAAACAAATGAAATGTTCCTTTAAGAAACAGATGAGGACACATATCGATTAGTAATCATGTAGGTAGATTAGTAATCAGGTCAGACTGCATGAACTTCGTTTAGAAAAATTGCAACAGGTAAGCTACGCTCTGAATGGGTAGAAAGCATTCAGAATCGCACTTAGCATCCATTAACTGGGTGTACAGGCATGGGCGTAAAAGGAAACGAATAAGGGGATCAACTGGAAAGTATTGCACCGGTGCAAATGGGAAGAAGCATGGGCAGGACTGATAATGCTGGCTAGGTACAAATCTCTGTTGATGATACTATTGCTTAACCTGGGAGTAAATCTTGGTGAAACTTGTCTGTGCCAATTTTGAGGCCAAAATATAACCAGCTTCTCATGGGAACGATCGGTAGAAGTACGATGAAGTTGCTGCATTGGAGGACTGAGCAGATATGGGAATGCCCAGTGTGCAGTGATGTAGACTGTGTTAAGAGATTTAACAAGTTTAGGAAAATTAGGTTTTGACAGTCACAGTTTATTTGGGCATGTTATTTGGAGAATTCTTCTTCTTCTTTGTTCACCGGCTGTAAGCTCCGGCAGAAAGTCCTGGTTGTTCGTCCATTTAGACTATGGCTTTGTGCCAGAACCTGAGTTTTGCATGCACATCTGTTTTATTGGCTTTTTTGTGTGCAGTTGGTTGTTACTTGCCACTCGGGCAGATGCACTCTGATTTCAAAGTAACATCAGGAGAATGAAACTTGAACACTTAGTGGCAACTGCAAGCTTGATTACAATAGACAAAGGAAGGCAAAAAGATGAATAGATATAAGCATATTATATTACCTCTCACATGTCTGCAGTCATATAGTGTATTACATTTCTTTGTTGTGTCCACCCACGGTCATACCAGTAGAATACAAGTTTTGTCGCATGTGCTAGCTCAGTGGTTGCCACGGGTCATTGTTGAGAGTTGCAGTAAATGTCCTAATGCCTAATGTTTTGCCCTGGCTAATGTGCGGATCTGTCATTTCAGTGTGTTTTCCTTGGTCTTCCTCAAGCTCTGTAGCACACTTTTCTACAGTTCCAAAGTATTAGTGACAGACATGGGATGCAGATGTGCTGAACTACATAGAGTGATGCACTAGGACTAAAGCTCATACAGGTTGAGATCTGTCAGTGTGTCTAGAAACAGTATCCAAACTGGAAGCCTGTCCAACATCGATACGATTGACGTTTCTTTTGAATTTGGATTGCGTCTGCCTGAGAGGCAAAGAAACAGCAGTGTGCACAGAAAAGAGCCAGATTTGTAAAATGGATATTCATGCAAAACTCAAATCCTGTATCAAGACCAAAGTCTAGAAGCTGTTGAAAAACCAGGACTGAGTTTATGAGTTTACAGCCAGTGAACACGAAGAAGAAGAGGAATAAGAAGAAGAAGTAACAAACTTTATTGCTCTGTTTCAGTACCTGAAAAATATATTGTATGAGTACATGATGGGTCGAGAGACAAAGGTAACATACATTTCTGGCTATTATTTGTTGCAGTTTCTACAGTAAATTTACTATCATTTCTCGTATAGTAAACTGTACTTTTTCTTACCTTTTGATTATTTTACAACTGTGTAATTTTTATTTTATGTTGGGCATTTGATATTTTATCTTTGTGTTTTTGTCTGGTTCTCTCTCTGTCGCCCTCTCCAACTTGCTATCTCTCTCTCTCTCTGTCGCTCTATCCCTGTCTCTCTCTTTCTCTCTCTCTCTCTCTCTCTCTGTCTGTCTCTCTCTTTCTCTTGTTTCTCACCAGTACCAGTACCATGGGCTGCAGTTACCATGTCTTCTTATTAAACAATATAATACTGCCATATGGAAAGAAGAAAAGGTGGACAAATGTATGCATACTTACATACAAATTCATATTTACACATATACACACACAGATGCCCATCACACAAGAGAAGGAAAGAGAATGAGAAAGAAAAAAGAAGAAGAGAAGAAAGTAAGAAAGAAGCAGAACAATTTAATGTTAAGCACTTTGAAATAGTTTATTTAAAACTATGTAAAAATACTCCAGGTAAGGGTCAGAGGCTGAAAAGGGGAAAATTGTGGATGGCTCAAGCAGAGGACTCAACAAGACAAGTATGCATGCTGGAGAACATTGGGCGAGGAGAGGAGTGGGTCAGAGTACCAGTGGGAAAATCTGACCTGTGTAGGGTTATGATCACATTAGGCAGGGAGTGCAGAGAGTGGCCAGTGTTTGCTGCTGAGGTGGACATCCAACAGTTGATTCACTACAATTTATGCCTGGAGGTTTGTAGCGAAAGCCAGTGGAAAATCTTAAATGCAAAACAGTCTAGCATACGACACCACAATATCTAGCATGTGATTGGAGGTGGAAGCGGTAACTGCAGCTCTCCGGTAGCTAGAGAACAAGATGCATATAACAGACTCTGAAAGCATGCTGAGAAAGATAAAGACAGGGATGCTTCACGCAGAGTGGCAGGCTACACTAGGAAGGTCACGGGTAGTGAGGATACTTTGGATCTTTTCTCCAGGCTATGGCGACAAGTGGGTAATGAACAGGCAGATTGGCTGGATCTGCACCACTGGGTGGTGAATTGATACATGACAAGGCAGATGTGGTCAAGGCCCTTTGGAAACAAATCAACGGAATCAGTAAAGAAAGAAGATTATTTTGTCCTGGAGAGAATGGGGCACCTGGTTGTAACAAGAGGGTCTGGCTGGCTCACTACACTCAGAGGAAAGGCAGGATGGAATATTACCTAATTGTGACTGGTACCATCAGTATTGAAACTTTGTGCTGGCTGCTGAGGATGAGGACGGAGCATGCATGGGAATACCCGAGAGCTGTGATGTCATTCTTGACTCATCTCAACTCAGCTCATTTAAAAAAGACTTGCTTTGAGGCACATTAGGTGAGGTTTGTTAGTGATAGATTATGCATGCATTTTAATATCGTCTTCTTCATCCTGCTCACTTCTTCTCTTTGTTTTATAACTGTTGATACCATTGTTTGTTCAAACATTTGTCTTATTTTAATATATATTTGTGACAACTTATTTGACCCTATAAGTAAGTAAAGTAAAGTAAAGGACCATTTTCCACGCCTTTAGGCGTATAGGGCATATAGGACTAGACCCATATTTTTATAGACCTATTGGCACAAGATGGGTGATGTGGTCAGCATCACGCCGGCCGCCTTTACTTTCTCGGGACTGCACCCGGTACCCACTCAAAGCTGGGTCGACCTGGGAGCCATGGACCCTATAGTTTCGTGAATATTTTTCAAGCTCCAACTTGAATGTTAGCCTTCCTGTGTGGGGCCCAGTTTGTTTTCGAGGGAGTGGCAGATAGCCCGCTGCACCCCCCGCCCCCCCCCCCTTTCCAACAACAAGCATGTTGTAAAAGTTGACTAATTAGGGGTGGGTCTTTCCTTCTAAGTCAGAGTGCATCTGCCTGAGAGGCAAAGAAACAGCAGTCTGCATACAAATAAGCCAAAACTGTAAAGCAGATGTGCATGCAAAACTCTAGTGAAGACTTTAAAATCCAGATGTGGATGAACAACCAGTACTTTCCGCTGGAGTTTACAGCCAGTGAACACATAGAAGGAGAAGAATGTTAGCTATGTACTTGATGAGACTGAAGCAAACCTGTTGATGCCTTTCTTATTGAGAGCTATTCTGTTATGTATTTTTATATGATTATATTTTGTTGTTGTTGCTATTTTACTAGACTCTGGCTAAAGTGATAGCCACTGTTGTGAGATTTTCTGATGAACAGATGAGGAATGTGCTGTCAAAAGCCGACACTGTGGTTAGTATCTGGACAGTATTTAGAAATAGTTTTTATTTTGATTTATAATTAACTCTAATATAAAGGGCCTTTTTTACGCCAGTGGTGTATTGGCCATATGGTGCTAGACTACGATGGTTATAGACTGCTCAGCACCCGCTAGGTGATGTGGTTAAGACTGGTCAGCACCTGCTAGGTGATGTGGTTAAGACTGGTCAGCACCCGCTAGATGATGTGGTTAAGACTGGTCAGCACCCGCTAGATGATGTGGTTAAGACTGGTCAGCACCCACTAGATGATGTGGTTAAGACTGGTCAGCACCCGCTAGGTGATGTGGTTAAGACTGGTCAGCACCCGCTAGATGATGTGGTTAAGACTGGTCAGCACCTGCTAGATGATGTGGTTAAGACTGGTCAGCACCCACTAGATGATGTTGTTAAGACTGGTCAGCACCTGCTAGATGATGTGGTTAAGACTGGTCAGCACCTATTAGGTGATGTGGTTAAGACTGGTCAGCATCCGCTAGGTTATGTGGTTAAGACTGGTCAGCACCTGCTAGATAATGTGGTTAAGACTGGTCAGCATCCGCTAGGTGATGTGGTTAAGACTGGTCAGCACCTGCTAGGTGATGTGGTTAAGACTGGTCAGCATCCGCTAGGTGATGTGGTTAAGACTGGTCAGCATCCGCTAGGTGATGTGGTTAAGACTGGTCAGAACCTGCTAGGTGATGTGGTTAAGACTGGTCAGAACCTGCTAGGTGATGTGGTTAAGACTGGTCAGAACCTGCTAGGTGATGTGGTTAAGACTGGTCAGAACCTGCTAGGTGATGTGGTTAAGACAGGTCAGCACCCGCTAGGTGATGTGGTTAAGACTGGTCAGCACCCGTTAGGTGATGTGGTTAAGACTGGTCAGCGCCCGCTAGGTGATGTGGTTAAGACTGGTCAGCACCTGCTAGGTGATGTGGTTAAGACTGGTCAGCACCTGCTAGGTGATGTGGTTAAGACTGGTCAGCACCCGCTAGGTGATGTGGTTAAGACTGGTCAGCACCGGCTAGGTGATGTGGTTAAGACTGGTCAGCACCCGCTAGGTGATGTGGTTAAGACTGGTCAGCATCCGCTAGGTGATGTGGTTAAGACTGGTCAGCACCCGCTAGGTGATGTGGTTAAGACTGGTCAGCACCCGCTAGGTGATGTGGTTATGACTGGTCAGCACCCACTAGATGATGTGGTTAAGACTGGTCAGAACCCGTTAGGTGATGGGGTTAAGTCATTGCCTAGCACCCAGTGTATGCTGGGACAGATAGAAAAATGAAAGCAAAATGGACACAGTATGGATTTTATCCCTGAACCTTCGGGTAGAAGGTAAGTGTCTAGCCACCACATAGCTCCCTAATCCTTTCAGAACCTGGCTGTTTTTTTTGTTTTTTTTTTGTTTTTTTTTTTTTTTTTTTTTTTTTGGTTATAAAACTTATTTAAGCTTAAACATTTTTTTTTTTAAACTTTAAAATAAATTTTGGCAGTCACTTGTGATGGACTTCATGGTTACATGCCTGAGGCTTGTCCAGTCAGTCAGGTTCTGTAACTAGGCCTTTCTTTTCCTCTTTCTCTATACTGAGCCCTGCAGTATTTTTTTTTACAGGCCGTTAGGTCTTATTACATGTCCAAACCATTGAATTTTTCACCTTTTCACTGTAGTTAAAAGAGGTTCATAGTTGCCAGTGTGGCTTGTTATTTGGCATGTATTACTTAAATTTGCTAAACACTTTCAACACTAGAGGAAAGTTAAATTAGTAATCTATCAACTTATGATGATTTCTTGGTACTGAAAGAATTAATACTGTTAGTCTTTTGCAGCTAAATAATAAACATATGCTATGCTTTTTTTTTTTTTCAAGCTTACTAAATTGTGGTTGAAAAGTTTATATGTTTCTAATATGTAACAATTTTGTATCCATCTATATTCAAGCGCTGGAAGAGAGTAATTATCATTTTTTTTTAACTTAAGGGAAATATGTTGCTTCAGTTGAATTTGGTTGGAGTTTACCGATTAAAAGAAACAAAATTACTTTCCTCTTGTCTCTTTTATTTTTCTGCATTTATTTATTCTGCTTTCTTTTGTTAATATCACTCCAAGAATGAAGACATTAAGAGAATGTGCATTTTTTGCATGTTTCCCCTTTTCTGTTTCTTTTTCCTAGCATTTACTGGCTGTAAACTCCAGAGGAATGTTCTGGTTGTTTGTCCACTTCTAGATGTTGGTCTTACTTGAGTTCTGCATGAACATCTGTTTTAAAGATCTGGCTTACTTGTATGGAGACTGTTGGTTTCATGCCTCTCAGGCAGATCCGCTCATACTTTGAAGAGAACACCCCTGATAAGTCTGCTTTTATGACATGCTGGTCGGAAGAGCAGCGGGTCCATTCTTTTGTGTCCCAAAATGGGGCTTTAGAACCCACACGGGGAGTTCTCATTTGAAAGTATGGATTTTATAAGTGGAATCAAAAGAAGATGGCGATAAAGAAGAGCAGTAGGTCCATTCTTTTGTCTCCCAGAATGGGGCCTCAGAACTTACACAGGGAATTCTCATTTGAAAGTAGGGATTTTATCAGTGGAATCAAAAGAAGATGGCAATATATTGGACACATTCTGAGAAGAAACAGATAGTGAATTATGAAAAAAGATGAACTGAGAAAGTGAGGATGTCCAAGAGAAACCCTGCAAAGAACATTGATGAGACCCTGCACAGAACATTGATGAGACCCTGCAAAGATCATTGATGAGATCCTGCACAGAACATTGATGAGACCCTGCACAGAACATTGATGAGACCCTGCAAAGAACATTGATGAGACCCTGCAAAGAACATTGATGAGACCCTGCAAAGAACATTGATGAGACCCTGCAAAGAACATTGATGAGAGAGACCAAAGCTGCTGAACTGGATTCTATGCATGATGTTAACAAGATTGCTCAGGATAGAATGGAATGGTGAAATAGAGTGTGAGTGCCATGTGTGTGCAAACGGAATACCAGGATTATTATTATGATGAAATCATTAAGTCAGTATCATATGTCACTGCAAGTCTTTTTTATCACCTTTATTGGACTGTTTTTTTTTTTTTTTTTTTTGTATATTCTTCATTTCAGTCAACTCTAAGCTGTGTTATTTTCCTTGTTGTATTTCATCATTTGTATGTTTCCAATAAACCTTTTTTTTTTTTTTATACATTTTATTTTATTGGATTGCTTGGGTAAAACTGTCCTCTCAATCCTTATCTGTTTTTGTTAACTTATGTGTCTAAGGTAGTGAGCAAATCTTTATTAGAAACATTGCTAATTACAGTTTCAGCTTCCCAGCAAACAGGTGACACCATTATTGCTCCCTTTCTGTGCCAGCAAAAAACCACACAAAATTCTTGTGAACACATGTGAAAAAATTGAACAAACAGTCCTGACAAAGCTTTACACATTAAATTCACAAGGCAGCCGTCAAAGGTAACAACGAAATGCTTATCACTGACACATGTGAAAAAGTTGAGCAAACAGTCCTAACAAAGCTGCACACATTAAATTTATAAGGCAGCTGTCAGAGGTAACAACACCAACAACCCGGCACTGGAATTGCTGTTAAGTGTCGATGAAAGCAGCAGTCACAACAAACCAGCAGTTACACACAAATTCCTCATAGTATATTAGATATATTTTTTGTAATTCAGTCAATGACACTTTGTTTACTCAACGATTTGCCAGTCAGTCTTCTTCTTCTTTTGTCAAAATCTGCTTGTGCCGCTAGGCGTCGCAGTCTATCAGATGATCGGCAACCGAGCCAGGGCGCGCTCAGTCGCTTCATATGCCGTGATGTTATGAAGTCTCAAGTTGTCCGTGACTCCTTCAATCCATCTTCTTCTTGGTCTTCCCCTGCCTCTTGGTGTTTCGATTTTCATGTTGTATGCTCTTGATGCTGGCATCGTTGGTTCCATTCTCATTAGGTGACCAAACCATTTAATTCTTTGCTTCTCAATAAATTTAACGATGGGTATGGTTCCAATAGTTCTTGTAATCACATCGTTTCTCACTCGATCTTGCCAGTCAGTGAGCTGTTTATAATAATCATTTGCACATTTTAGAAGATTTTCTGTACTTATTGTTTATCTTGTTTTTGCTGTTAAATTGGTTATCTGCCCACAAGTTATTTGAACTGTGGATTCATATTTCATTTTTGAATTTCTTTGAGCATGGTATTTATTGTTTTTATTCTATGGTTTTGGGTTTTTTCAAGTATTGAGCATTAAATCATCATTGAAGTTGCTTTTCTTTTTTCAGGGCAACATTGGTTGTTAATTAGCTGTTTATTGTATGTGAGGGAATGCACCTTGATGTGTATGCCTTTCTCACTTGATCTTTCTGACGGAATTCCCATCTGTTTCTCTGTTCTCGTCTGTTCTTGTGTGTAAGGGAATCTTATTGTTTTAATTTAAATTTCATAAGTGTTTCTTTGAAAGTAACTTTAACTTGAAAAATATAAAGGTTCTGGTCAGAACTCTCTCTCTTGAGTTGTAATATAATCTCAGAAATTAGGGGTTG